ATAGTCCATGTAATTTGCAATTGTTATGGTTCATTTTTTTAAAATTGGGTTTTTATGACCCTCTAAATTTCCAAAGGTAGGGTGGATTCAGGGAATTATTTTTGAAACTGTAGGAACGCAACCCTATTGCAAATTCAAACTATAGGGATATCTAAATTCTCTCAAAATGTATAAGAAAGTGACCTGCATAGTAATCTAACTTTACTTTCCAAATTTTATTTATGTTTATTTTTTGATGTGGTTTATTGAGGAAGGTGTGGGGTGATGACCACATAATACTTTGGGTTGACTGTGTAGTGTTCTTGTTATGTCAATAAAGAAAGGAATAGTGCTACTCACAGAACACTGAGGTGCAGTACCAATCACTGTTGCCGGCAACTGCATGTGATTCCACCCTGAGTTTTACAGGAAAAGAGTGTTAGTTGGACCCCTTAATTTTGAGAGAACCATGTGTAGTTGTGAGTTCAATAGTTGTGTCATAGCAATTGTGTTGTGATGTTTGATTCAACAGTTGTCCTCTTTCTCTTTACCTGTCCTCTTTCTTTGGTTTCTAACCATGGTTGTGGTATTAATAGATATTTTTGCATGCCATTTAATGCCATTCTTTGCTGTGCACTTTTGTTTGGCAATTGCAAATGTTCATGTTGATGCATTACTTATGTGCTTTCAAAAGATTAAAATCCAAAGTTTTTGCAAATGATTAGCCATGGAAATATATGCTTGTTTCCTTCCAATTTTTCAAAAGATAAAAGCTTTGAATGGTTAGCACAGCAATATTTGCTTATATCCTTCAGAAAGCTAGGCTTTTCCAAGTTTTTTTTTTTTTCAATCTTTTAAATTTTAATGCATCTCTGCTCACTGTAATATGTTCTTGTCCAGATACATGGGTACCATAACAGGTATTAGTGATTTAGATCCGGTTCGCTGGCCAAATTCACACTGGCGATCTGTGAAGGTTTGTTGAGACTGTTTGGTTCATCCAGCTATTATATGCAATTACAACGATAGAATTTAACCCAATCGTAGAAGTATCTGATATTGTGTTGGAGATGATGTAGAATTTGGTGTTTTAACTTTTGTGTACTGGTGTAGGTTGGCTGGGATGAGTCCACTGCAGGGGAGAGGCAGCCAAGAGTTTCCTTGTGGGAGATTGAACCTTTGACAACATTCCCAATGTATCCATCTCCATTCCCCTTGAGGTTGAGGCGCCCTTGGCCTTCTGGCCTGCCTTCTTTATATGGTATGTGGTGGTTTTGTATGTGTCATGGCATTCTCTGTGACAGTATGTTTTGTTTTTATTTTTGTGCTGAGAGGTACATGACATCTTCACCTTAAATTATTTCTTCCTTTCATTTTGTGTAAGACAGGTCTCAAGGATGGTGACATGAACATTGGTTCTCCATTCATGTGGCTTCAAAGTGGGCTTGGGGATCAGGGAATGCAATCTTTGAGCTTCCAGGGGCTTGGTGTTACACCATGGATGCAACCTAGACTTGATGCTTCTATACCAGGCCTTCAACCAGATTTATACCAAGCAATGGCCTCTGCTGCATTTCAGGAGATGAGAACAATGGATCCTGCAAAATCTTCCCAATCTCTGTTGCAGTTTCAGCAGACTTCCAATGTTCCCAGTGCTCATACTTCTGAGGTACAGAGGCAAGTATTACCACAGTCTCAGCCTCAAAACACCCTTCTACACAGTTTTCCAGAAAACCAGGTGCCTGCTCAGTCACAACTTCTGCAACAGCAGTTGCATCGTTACCACCCATATAATGATCAGCGACAACAGCAGCAGCAACTTAAAAACTTACCTGTTCAGCAGCAGTTACCAAATGTCATTTCTCCTTTATCTAATTTTGCGTCAGGTACCCAGTCTCAGTCTCCACCCATGCAAGCCCTAGGTTCACATTGCCAGCAGCAGAGCTTTCCTGAGCCTATCCGGAATCATATTTCTGGTTCTGATGTTTCACCTATCCAGAGTCTACTGAGTTCATTCTCCCAGGATGGAAGCTCCCAGTTACATAATTTGAATGGATCCAATTCTGTGATATCTTCTGCAGCCATACTACCCAAGCAAATAGCTGTTGAACCTCAGCTTGCATCTGCTGCTGCTCATGGCATACTGCCTCAGGTGGAAAATTTGGGGGCATCACAATCAAATGTGTCTGAACTTACTGCTTTGCCTCCATTTCCAGGAAGAGAACATTCTGCATACCATGGTGCTGCTGATCCTCAGAGCAATCTTTTATTTGGGATTAACATTGATCCTTCTTCTCTTATGCTGCAAAATGGCATGTCAAACCTGAGAAATATAGGCAACGTGAATGATTCATTGTCATTGCCATTTCCTGCTTCAAATTGTGGTGGTGCTACGGGCACTGATTTTCCTTTAAGTTCAAACATGACCACTTCAAGTTGTGTGGATGAATCAGGGTTCTTGCAGTCTTCTGAAAATGTAGACCAAGCAAATACACCAACTGGAACCTTTGTTAAGGTAATAACTAATGTCTTTATTGTTTATAAGTGGTATGGGTTTATTTATATATTTTATGTGTAGCCCTTTTTAATATCATTTACCAAAATAAAGCATCACTTTATCAGTTTAAGGTACAAATTAAATATAATTATATAATATATTTATGTTCAATGTTGAATTGGTTCTATTTTACAGGGATATTCGGACCCTATTTATATAACCATTAAATAGTGGTTTTCATGAAAAATTTTCAGTTTCACTTTTGTGTCCTCTTCTTTTGTAGGACTACTATATTCTCCAATCAGCATGTGGATGTTATCTACTGTCTAGGACTACTATAATTTTTTTGGTTGATGAATGTGGTGTAATTTTGACAGGTTCACAAGTCAGGGTCCTTTGGAAGGTCACTGGACATTTCTAAGTTCAGCAGCTATGATGAGCTGCGCAGTGAGCTTGCTCGCATGTTTGGCCTTGAAGGTCAACTAGAGGACCCTAAGACTCAGAGATCAGGCTGGCAGCTTGTATTTGTTGACCGGGAGAATGATGTTCTTCTTCTTGGTGATGATCCTTGGCAGTAAGTTTCCATATACTGGTTTCTATTTATGTTCAAGTTATAGTTGTTTCATTGATTAATGGCTTAAGTTTTCATTAATATCTTATATGATTTACGGCATTCTTCCTTGGTGCTTATATCATTGGGTGCTATAGGAATAGTCAGTGAAGTTTTTTCTATATTTGATATTTCAACGTGGTGACATTTTACAGACCTTTATTTTATGGATCTCAATAATTATTTCTGCTATTTTTTTTGTTTCTTCTATTAAGTTTTTGCTCATTAATGTTGAGTATATCATTGAAGATGCTGACTAAAAAAAAAGAATATATTAACAAGAAACTGTTCTGCTTAGACTTAGCTGATTACTGATTCTCTGCAGAAACATTTACACTTGATATTTTTGCAGGGAGTTTGTGAACAATGTGTGGCACATCAAGATACTGTCTCCACTTGAAGTGCAACAAATGGGCAAAGGTCTTAGTCCTTCAACTTCTGCCCCAGGTCACAAACTTCCTACTGCAGGCAACTCTTGTGATAATTATGTGAATCAACAAGAGTTGAGAAGTCCGAGAAGTGGCATGGCATCAATGGGGTCTTTTCACTACTAGGACATTCTCCATGTAAGGAATCCTAGTTGGATAAATATGGTGGCTAAATCTAAGGTTACATGTTTCATATGTATGTATTGGCCCAGCATTCTTATGCACATTAAAGGATGAGATGTAGTGATTTTGCAAGATCAACAGCAAATGACTGTAAATTATAATAGGTAACCTTGTTTCTGTAATGGTTAGTTGCTTATAGCTGTTATTAATTTTTATACCTCTTTTTTAGTTCTTGCAATTGAAATTTGATAGCTTCTTGCTCCATTTGCTTATATTCGCTTCAACGTCCTTCCCATCAGAATTAACAAAGGCGATGCTGGCCTACTGACAAATTTTCGTGAAGATTCAAAAAGATTAAAAAACGCAATTTTCTAAATATTATCCATAAAGAACACGCCAAGTGGTTATTTGTAATTCTCTTTTCATGTTTTCTTTCACAAGAACTTTTTAATAATTATCAAATGTAATTAGGTAAATTTACTCTCTTTCAAAGATGTTTCAATTTAATGTACCTTTTTTTTTTTTAGTTCAAAAATTATATTTTTTGGATCATCTCCAAGGTATTAGGATCGTTTTTATAGTTAACTTATCTAAGACATGATTGCTCTTCTAAGATATCAGCGAGTGTCCGTCAAAATGGGAATTTCTTTCTCAAGATTGGATCAAAATCAATGTTGCGATGGTGTGATCAGAGACAAGACAGGAGCTTGGTTGATTGGATTTATCAGAAATTTGGGATCTATAGATGTCCACTTGGCTGGATCTGGGGGATTTAAACTGCTTAGTTAGCTTGGAACAAAATGCTTTAGAAAGGTGTGGCTCGAGACTGATTCTTAGTTGCACTTGATACAGCGGAAGCAAAGTCCCTACCATCCTTGTGCTACCATTCTTTCAGCTATTGAGGAATATTGCAGCAAATATTGGTCTTTAAAGATCTCACGTTTATAAGGAAGTAATGTTGCTGACTGGTTTGGCTTCTCATGCTCATTCTTATGAGTTAGGCATAGGACTCATTCTGCATAGACGCATTGCTTTGTAGTTTTATTTGTTTCTTGGGACTTAACCTCTCCACTTTACTAAAAATTCAAATTCTTCCATTAAAAATTTAATATGCATTGCATGTTTCTTTATTTTATTAAACGAGTCTTTGATGGATATATTTTCTTTCTCTATGTTTTTTAAGCATCATTATCAGTTTATTTTAAACCTTTTATTATCAATTTTAAGACTTCAAAAATAAATACAGTTTTTAAGTAAAATTTAAAAGTTGATAAAATGTTAAAATCAGTTATCGGTTGTTTAAATTCAACTACAGGTGATATTGGAAGAGTTTTTTTTTTTTTTTTAATTTTGTTTACATTAAAATAAACTAAAGTATAATATATTTTACCTGGTAGAAGAGATAACAGTAATTTAAAAATTGACAAATAGTAACTAATATCCTTAAAAAAGTTATAATTTAAAGAATAAAAAAATATTAAAAAAGGGTTATTAATGTATTTATTCTTGTAATTTCTAAAGCACCTTAACATAATTTTTAACGATTTTTTTTTTCAGAAAGACCCTTCAAAATTTATAGAGAGGATAGCGTGTCATTTAAAGGAAAGTATGATATATTCAACATAACGTGTCATAGTTTTTTGAAATATGTAATTCAAGCATAAATTAATAAATAATTCAATATGTTTTATTACCGGTTATATCTGCTGAAATGATAAATGAGTTTAGTAGTTTACCCCACATTTTAATAAACATTTGAATAGTTTTTATTTTAAAGAAATAATTAAAAATTTTCAGTTTTTAAAAATATTTTTGATATGTAATTTAAGGGGAAAAAAAAACTTGAGAAGTCTCTGCCTTTGTATAGCATTACACAAACGCAGGAGCAGAGGAAAAAATAGCACTGCGGCATCTCTACACTCTGGGGATTATCGCGACCCACGTGGTGGTTGCTTCATTGGGGTTAGTTTCTTCACTTAAATCTCTCACCTTGATGTTGAACACATTCAAATCATTAATCCATGTGAGTAGAACCATGTTAGTTTGCCTCAAAATCCCTTATTTTCCACTATGCACAAGTGCACTTGGCAACAAAATGAATGATAATGAACCTGAGAGTGACACAGAGACAGAGTGGGAAAAATTGCTCAAACCCTTTGATCTAAAACAGCTTCAAAGGTCACTCACCCCAATTAGCCCCTCTCAGCTTTGTAAATTGTTGGAACTCCCTCTTGACATTCCCACTTCAATGGAGCTGTTTGAAAGGGTTGGTTCCCAAAAGGGGTATTGTCACTCCTTTCATGTATACTACGCTTTAATTCATAAGCTTGGGGCTGTTGAGGACTTCAAAACTATAGACAAATTGTTGAAGCAAATGAAAGAAGAAGGAATCGTGTTCAACGAATCACTCTTTCTTTTGATTATGAAGTATTATGGCAAGGCTGGTTTGCCTGGCCAAGCAACTAGGCTTTTGTTGGATATGTGGAGTGTTTATTCTTATAACCCCACATTTAAATCTTATAATGTTGTGTTGGAGATTCTGGTTGATGGAAATTGTCCCCGAGTAGCGCCTAATGTTTTCTATGACATGTTGAGTAGAGGTGTTTCTCCAACAGTGCATACGTTTGGGGTGGTCATGAAAGCCTTGTGTATGGTTAATGACGTGGATTCGGCTTGCTCACTTTTGAGGGACATGACGAAGCATGGGTGTGTTCCAAATTCAGTCATTTACCAAACCTTGATTCATGCTCTTTCTGAAAACAACAGAGTGAATGAAGCAATGCAGCTTTTGGAGGACATGTTTTTGATGTGTTGTGAGCCTGATGTTCAGACCATCAATGATGTTATCCATGGTCTCTGCAGGGCTAGTCGGATTCATGAAGCGGCAAAGTTGCTTGATCGAATGCTACTTCGAGGTTTCAGCACTGATGCTTTAACTTATGGATATTTAATGCATGGTTTGTGCACAGCAGGGCAAGTTGATCAAGCAAGGGCCTTGTTGAACAAAATTCCCAACCCGAATACTGTGCTCTATAATACACTAATTAATGGTTATGTTGCTAGTGGACGGTTTGAAGAAGCCAAAGATCTTCTCTACAATAACATGGTAATTGCAGGTTATGAACCTGATGCTTACACATTTAACATACTGATTGATGGATTTTGCCGAAAAGGACATTTGGTCACTGCCCTTGAATTCTTATACGAGATAGTAGGAAAAGGCTTTGAGCCCAATGTGATCACGTACACCATATTGATTAATGGTTTCTGCAAGCAAGGCCGATTACAGGAAGCTGTTGAAGTTGTGAATGGCATGTTAGCCAAGGGTCTCAGTCTGAATACGGTGGGGTACAATTGCTTGATCAGCGGTCTGTGCAAATATGGGAAGATTGAAGAAGCTTTACAAATGTTTGGTGAAATGTCAGGCAAAGGATGTAAACCTGACGTTTATACATTTAATTCTTTAATATATGGATTATGCAAGAATGATAAGATGGAAGAGGCCTTGAGTTTATATCACAACATGTTCTTGGAGGGTGTTATTGCCAACACTGTAACATACAACACATTGATTCATGCTTTTCTTAGGATAGATTCAGTTCAACAAACATTTAAGCTTGTTGATGAAATGCTATTTAGAGGGTGTCCTCTGGATAATATTACATACACTGGCCTTATTAAAGCGCTCTGTAAAACTGGGGCAGTTGAAAAAGGGTTGGGGTTATTCGAAGAAATGCTTGGGAAAGGGATTTTTCCTAGTGTTAACTCTTGCAATATTCTGATCAATGCCTTCTGTAGAATTGGAAAAATAAATGATGCCTTAAAATTTCTTCGGGATATGATTCATCGTGGTTTGACACCAGATATAGTCACTTATAATTGCCTAATTAACGGTCTTTGCAAGATTGGTCATGTTCAGGAGGCTTTGAACCTTTTTAATAGGTTACAAGGTGAAGGAATTCGTCCTGATGCTATTACATTTAATACACTAATCAGTAGGCTCTGTTATGAGGGTTTGTTTAATGATGCATGTCTGCTTTTATATAAAGGTGTGGATAATGAGTTCATACCTAATGACATCACTTGGTCAATATTGATGAATTATCTTCTAAAAGAAAAGGTCAAGAGGAGTAAGGCTTTCTTCTAGTTAATGGTGGAAAGTGGAGCTTCTTCTCTTTGAAGCCAACATATTCTATCCAGCTCACTTTATGTTTTGATTGAATGGTCTCATTCGATTTGTCTGTTGGCATTCTGATTATAAAATATTGGCTATCAATTTTGATCGATTTGCTATTCTCATGGGAAATTTGGACTCTGGCTTTTTTCCATAAATTGGTTCTAGATTTGCAAATTGTGACTGCTGGTTGGATTTTGGAGTTTGCACAAGTTCAGAATGAGGAAAGACTGATTTTAAGTCATCACCAATCTGATCAAAGTTTTCTGTAGCTGAAGCATTCACTTCTCATGTACGTAGTAGTTGAGAGAAAGATAGCTGGCTGGTTTCACTGCTGATTAAGAGGTCCAGTTGTTTCCTTGCTAGATATTGAACATTGGACATTTTTTAATCTATCGCCTCCACTTGCTAATCCTTTACCCATTTTGATTGCTCTCTGTTTCATTTTGTGCATGACATCTTTACCAATTGATCAAGTTAGTTGTTTCTCTGGTTGTGTGCTCCAGGTGTCAAAGGTAGAGAAACAAGTTGTCCAATTACATGACTCTTTGGAGAGACTTGTGGATCAATGTATGCCATCAGTGAACTTCCATGAACTTGAGGTTACAGACATGGATGCAACCAAATATTTTATGCTTGTATCACTGCTACTGCTCTACTGGAAATGATGACAGTGGATCCTTCTAAATCTTTTTCACACATCTGTTGCATTTCCAGCCATGTTCAATTCTCCCTGGTGCTTGCACTCTCGCAATCCAGTACAGCACTTTTTAGTCCCAATTTACCCTTGTATTCAATTTTCCAGGAATCCAGGTGCCTAATCAGTATAAAATTTTACACCAGCAGTTTCCAGCTTCCAGCATTACCACCCTAATTGGTGGCAATAGCAATTTCAGTATCCACATCAGTTTAGCAATTTCCTGTTCAGAACCAGATTCCAAATGTCATGTGTTCTGTCTAATTCATCTGCTGACAGCCATGGTGTTCTATCCCATTTATATGCAGGCAATAGCATGACACTGTTAGCACTTAGGTAAATTTATCCTCATTATGTACAGATACATATACAGTGGTTATTTTTTCTGTTTTTTTTTTTCCTTTACCAAATTGAAATTTAGATCTGCATCAATACAATAATGACCCTGTGATGTAAATCCTTCCAAAAAATCACCCATCCCACACCTAAATTTCAAAGATCCACTTCAATTACCGGTGTATATGTAAAACACTAGCGACTTGGATTCAAGCTGAAAATTGACTTTTCAATGGAGGGGTGAGGGTTTTTTTTATCTGTGCACTAAGTTATCCCTTAACCAACAATCAAATGGTGGGGATTTGGCTTGCATATGCAATTGAGATGCTAGATTTTCTCTTCACTCTTCACCATGTGTTTCCTCTGATCATATAATAGATCAAGTAATTAGATTGGTAAAGAATGTGGACATAATAATGTAGCTTAATTTGTTGATTGTAAATTTGTAATTCAATTTGTACCATTTTTTTTGGAGTGTTTTAGCAATTATCCTAAGACTGCAGAATTTGGCTACAAATTGTGTTTCTATCTCAGTATTGTGTTGGTTACTGAATCAACCAACCTTTAAAATGAATGGCTATACATAAAAATCTCGATAATATACCTCCTTGCATCAAATTAATTTTAGACACCCAAAATGATGATTCAGCTATTTGAGTGATGAATTATTTATTACTCGAGGATGGCCAAGCTTGTGAGCTAATGAAGAGAATGATGTTATGCCATTTCATAAGCATTATGGTTGTACAATATTGATATTGGTTTCTGTATATTAAGCATGTTCTTGAAAGAGAAATGAAGATCAACACATAATGAATGCCATGAAAATAGGCCCTACTATCAAATGGTAAATCTGCAACCTAAATCTCAATGTCTTCGACAAAAAAAATTGTCAAAGAAAATGTGTGTATTTTGAAATAATAAATCCTATCTTACTCCACTCAACTAACCTTTTAAATTATTAAAAAATTAATATGATGATATGTATATTTTAAAAAGATCAATTTAATTTATTTATGAGTAAAATATATGTATGCGATTATATATATTTTTGAAGATTAAATAGGTATTTACTTAAAAACTATTCTTAATAAACTAATTTTAAGTATTTATAAGAAAAATTCATAAACCAATTTCATAATAAAATTGTTTTAAAAAGTAATTTTTTACTTTATTTAAAAACTATTAAAAATGATAATTATTTCTTAAATAAGTTAAATCAGATTTTGTTTAGAGAGAGCTGAATTATATATGTATTTACTAAGTGTGTGGACTCAAATTCATAGTAGCATTCATCAGAAAACAATAAAAATAGAGATAATTTATAGAATCTTTCATTCTTTTGATTTTATTTATAATTTAGCCATTCTAAATATTTTAAATCTTAGTTGAATACAATTTTTCTTTTCTTATTAAAAATTATTCTCAATAAATTTTAAAAAAATGAAAATAGCATGCCCGATTATTAATTTGTTTTAAAAAAATTGCAAATTAGGTTATCGAAAAAATTTATCTATATTTATATGTAAAATTGAATGAACCTACTTATTACTTTATATATTAAAATTCGAAACTTATAAAGTCATTCTTATTAACTGAACTTACTTATTACTATAAAGTCATTTTTATATACGTAACTTTATCTACTTATTATTCTATGAATTAAAATTTGAAATGTATAACTTACAAATTAAAATTATATTTGATTGTATTAAAATTTAGAACCTATAAAATCACTCTTATTAATTGTATTTACTTATTATTTTATATATTAAAATTCAAAACATATAATTTAAGAATTGAAATTATATTTTCTTTATACTTATTATCTTTGAATTCTATTTAAAAAATATTTATTAAAACTAATAATTATATTATGTTACAAACAATAACATAAATATTTATATTATAAATTATGTTTAAGAAGAATTAATGATTATATTATGCTTCATACTTATTATGAAATATATTTAAGAATAATTTATTATAATTGATGGATATATTATATCAAAATATTAGAATAAAAAATATCTATACATTTTTTAGTTATCTTTTAATTAAAAATAAAATTGTATCTTTACTTTAAATTATGTTTAAATTTAAATGGTATTAATTTACATTATTTAATTAATTAATTTAATATAATTTAAATTATAATATGTACTTCAAATATTAAAATATATTTTGAATTAAAAAATAAATTTATAAAATTATTAATTTATATTGTATATTATTAAATTAAATTCTTAATAAAAAGATAAGTTTATATATTTAAATTATTATATTAATTAGTTTAATATAATCTATAATTCAATATATACTTCAAACCCTAAACTCTAAACCCTAAACACTAAATTAAAAAAAATTATACTTATTAAGATTATTACTTTATATTATATATTATTAAATTAAAATTTTAAATTATTTTATTAATTATTTTAAAGTACATAAGAAAATATAAATTATATTAAACAAATCTATAAAATGATTTAAATTAATATTATTTAAATTTAAATATAACTTAAAGTAAAGATATAATATTATTTTTAATTAAAAGGTAACTCAAAAAATTTATAAATATTTATTTTCTTATTAATTATTTTTATTATACAAAATATTATAATATATTTTAACAAATTTTAATTTAATGTAACTTTAATTTTATTTTATATATAGTATTTTTATTTATAAAGTTGTCTTTTCATTAAAAATTTAATTTAACATTATATAATATAAATTAATAATATTGTAAGTGTAATTTTTATAATTTATAATAAATTTTAGAGTCTAAAAGTACATATCAAACTTTAGATTATTCTAAACTAATTAATAAAATAATTTAAATTTATAAATTTATTTTTAAATTAAAAAATTAATTTAATAATATATAATATAAATTAATATGGTATTTAATTAAATAATTTAAATTAATATCATTCAATTTTAAATTTAACTTAAAATAAATATATAATTAATTTTAATTAAAATGTAACTCAAGAAATTAATAAATATTTTTTTACTATTTAATTATTTTCATTCATTAGGTACAATTTTACTTGACAATAAAATTTTAAAAAAACTAATCATTGTTTAAATAATGTATTAGAGAAATAAACAAAAAAATATATCTAAAAATAAAAATAAAATCTCAAATTCACCATATTTATGTCAAAATAGTTATAATATATATATATATATATATATATATATATATTTTAAATAACGATATAATATTTTAATGTGTTTATTATAAAATTATATTTATATATCTTTAAAATAATTAAAGACCTAATAATATTATACTTTTTTGTTACTTATTTTTAATTCAATCTAGATGTTTCTTTATATATAGTATTTTAAATTTATTTTTTAAATTTTATTTAAATTTAAATTTGTTTTTTAATAATTTTTTTAAATATTATTTTATTATTAAATTATTTTATAGATATATTTATTTTTATTGATTCTTAATTAAAATAATAAATGATAAACCAATCATATTTATTATTTTTAAAAAAATAGATAATAAAAATTTATGAATTTATTATTTTAATTTTATGACTTAAATAACATAATTTTATTATACTTATTTATTAAATAAAATTAATTTATTTATAATATCAATCAATATTAATTCTGTAGAGTTATAAAAATATATAAAATAATTTAATTAGTTTTAAAAAAACTAAATTCTTTATTTTTTTTTATAAAAAAGTAAATTTTTAATTCAGAATATATATTATATTGTTATGAATTTTTATTTATAATAATTTTGTATAATAATTTTATTTATATATAAAAAATTATTATATTTTTATTTTTAAATATTAACATAAAATTTTATATATATTGATATTAAAAGTAAATTTTTAAAATTTTATACATTAGTTGAATAAATATAATTTTATTTTTGTATATATTATTCTGATAAGTTATTTTTAAAAAATATGATATCATACTTTAATAATTATATTGTAAAATTTTATTAATAATTTTAAATTATAATTATAAATAAATAATTTATTATATAAATTTAATTCAATGAGTATAAATAAGTACATAAATAAAAAATTATAACTTATATTGAAAATTTATTTAAAATTTTATAATGATGAATCATTTATAATATCATAAAACAATATAAATTTTGTTTTTATATTTTAAAAATAAAATATTTTATTCTATTTGTTTATGCTAGAAAATATTAAACTATATATATTTTAATAATTTTATAGAATAACTTATTTTAATAAATAATTTTTACTATATTTTTTATATTTAAATTATATATTTTATATTTTAAAATAAATTAATTTAATAAAAACAAATAAATCCGTGCGCAATGCACGTACATATTTATTGGTTATTATTATAATTTCCTTAAAAAATACACTCAACGTAAATTACAGAATCTTAAACTTGAATTGTAATTCAATCAAGTTACTAAATTTTAATATGATGTATCTGTCCATAAAAAAAAATAAAATTGAAAAGTTGTTTTAAATATACCATATTAAACATTTTTAATTTTTTTAAAAATCAACATTAAATAATTTTTACACTTTGAATCTAATTAATATTTTTAACCACATTGATCTGAATGTAGTTTGGGATTTGAACATTGAAGTGGTGATGCATGCTACCACTATTGCTATGGGGTTTAGGGTTTACAGCACCGCCACCATCGCCGACTCTTCCCTCTCTTATCGGTGAAACCGTTACTCATTCATTGCATTGCAGACATGGCATTGCCGGCGAATAGAGATCACACTCCCAAATCTGATTCCACAAACCCGTGCTGCGAGCAGGTTTCTCTTCTTTCTCTTTTCGCTTTCGTCCATTTTCATTTCACCTTTGTTTTCAACACTTCTCTTCTCTTTCTCATTTTGCGCAGTGGAAGAAGAAATACTTGAAGGCGCAAGAATTGCGGAATGCTCTGCGCCAAGCCGTTAATGTTCTTGAACTTAAAATTAACGAAATTCAGGCACAGAAAAACAAAGGTAACTCTCTTTTCTCTTCATATATTAGTGTTCTTTTATGATTTGTTGTATAATCATGAACATTTGGTTCAGTTCACAGCATGCACATGGTTGAGCGAATATAGTTTAACGTTACTTAAGATTGATCCATTTTTTTACCTTTGCTGTAATGTAATGTTGTGTTTTCTATGCAGCATCTGTGGTCAAAGCTGAAACACAGGAAAAATTGGAAGAGGTCAATTCTAGAGTACCTTTAGAGAATGAAAACTGTAGCTTCAAGTCTCAGATTGCTAACCATTCGACTCAGAAGGAGCATGGCAGCAATGATCGGGATGGAGATGAGAATGAGAAGTTACGCGGTTTACTAGCTGATGGGGAAAAGGAAATTGGTAGAATGAAGGAGCTTCTAGACGTGGAGAAGAGAAGGGCTGATTCTGAGAGTAAGAAAGCTGCAGAAGCTTACAAGTTGCTAGAAAAAGAGAAGAATAAGACTGCAGATAAGGGGGAGACTGCCAGAATTGAGGGGGAGAAGGCGGAGGAGTATAGGATTCAGGTTGCACGATTGGAGAAACAAGTTAATGAAACAAAAACAAAGTTGGCATCGGAGATGTCTAAGTTTAAAGAGGCAACCAAAAAGTTTGAGACTGAAAAGCGCAAGATATTAGCAGAAAAAAGAAATGCTGAGTTAGGGATGGCAAAAGCTAATGAAAATTTTGAGGTTGAAAAACGCAAGATATTAGCAGATAAAAGAAATGCTGAGTTGAGGATGGCAAAATCTAATGAGGTTGAAAAATGCAAGATATTAGCAGAAAAAAGAAATGCTGAATTAGCAATGGCTAAAGCTATTGAAAATTTAGAGGTTGAAAAACGCAAGGCCGATGAGGAAAAAAGGCGTGCAGATGCAGAGATGGTTAAACTGGAGCAGCAGAAGGCACTTGCAGAAGATAACTGGAACAAGTTCATGAAAGAGAAACATCTTGCCAATCAGATGTCTCAGCAAGTAGAAGAGGATAAGCGAATGATTGAGGATTTGAAACAGAAAATCGATGAACTCTCATCTTTGAAAAAACCAATTGAAATGACTGCTGATGTCAATGTGAAAGCTGGAGGTTCAAAAGTGAAGCTTTTGAAAAACAAACTAAAGCTTGAAAAGCTACGAGCAAAACATGCCAGGCAAAAATATAAGTTAGAAGCAAGTCGTTTCAGCGTTTTACAGCATGAATTAGGTCGTCTAAAGGTTGATTTCATTCAACTTGTACATCGCCTTGATATACTGGATGCATCCTTTTCACCTGTTGCTGGAAGTATACATGACCAAACAAAGGTTGGTTTCACTGATAAATTGTTTGCAATTATATATAATGTATGAGTATTTGTTACCATTTTGTACGTCCCCTTTCTGTTGAAATCATGCGCACTCTTGAAGCCAATTATCTCATTCTGGCTTACTCTCATATGCAGGCTAAAGTATGGATCACTTATGTTATGGACATTTGGTTATGAACTTGTTGGTTGATTATCCCTTGAATGATTAGAATTATTGTGTTTATATTCATATTAGCAATAACACTAACAGGTTATTTAACCTTGGGTAATGGGAACATACAGGATCTTTGGAAAGCAATAAATGATTTTTTGCTGGTTAAGAAAATAATTGTTTAGTGGCTATAGATGCTTTTTTTTTTTCGGGTGGGTTAACGTTTGTTGATTCACTGAATCTGGATATTTTAGTCAATTCAGTTTTAGGTCAGAGTTCATACAGTCAAAGGATCTCTTTTTTCAAATTTCTTTTGTTAGTTCCTTTTTTTTTTTTTTTTTTTTGGTATCTTATTCTTATGTACGTATGACTTAATTTTTTCCTTTGTTGGGGTGATTGCTTTGCAGTCTCAGAATATACTAGACATGCAGAACTCAAATGTCACAAGGCAAGTCTGCCATCTAAATTTGTCTCAGATGCATGGCCAATTTGAAAATGAGTTTTTGGATCCATGCTGCACAACTACAGATACACGTGATCCATTGAGGAAAAACATGCAGCATACTCCGCTCCTTGGTCTATCTAGTGGAAATTACTCTCAATCCATCACAGGTATTGATTCTAAATTGGGGCCTCTTGTTAGAGGATCCAACAGAACAAAGTTACAGAGTTCTGCAGTGAATTCCAGTACAGAATCTTTTTCTGATAGACAGTTGATGGGCTCACAGGAAACAACTACTTTTCCAGTTTCTGCATCAGCACCATTGACGCAGGAGATCTTTAATGCTAGGCAAAGCATCTGCAATCCATATGATAGATCTGTTACCGTGCACCATTTGAAGAGGAAAAGAATCCATGATGCCGTTGAATATATTGCAAATTTGTCATCTGAGAAACTCTCTGATTTGCATGGTTTGTTGTACAGAAAGTTTGGCAAATGCTTAGAGGGAGAAAGAGATGTGCTTCCTAATCTGAACAATTTACATGTAAAGGATAACAGGGCCCACAAGAAGAGAAAGAAATCTCATAGGGAAAAAGTGGACATGATACCTTGGGTTAACAGGGATGAGAAAAGGGGCATAGATGAGGCCAACAATGAGGTCTACAATGATGCAAATGCTTACAGACGCACTTCCTGCCCTGCCTCATATACTTTAGAAACCACTCAAGCATGTGGGGAGAGGACATGTGATGCTGCAAATAATCTTGATTCCATAATTAGTTTTGACACAGTGAATGGTGGAAGTTATATGAAGTTATTAGAATTGGAGAATGCTACCAATGAGGAATGCTATAGAAGAGTGATGGATTGTCCCTTGTCTCCATCTCTTCCTGAAATTGAATTTCATGAAACTTGTGCTGCAGATAATTTGATTAATCCCTTTCTAGAGGAATCACTTCAAGAAGACATGTTGAGTTCAAGAACGGACCTGTTTCCTTCACCTTTCTTTGATGTACTTAGAGTTGAAATCAATTCTAATGAACAAAAGTTTGATGTTTCTGGAGTTCCTTATAGTTTGCAGAATAGGTCTACACAGGCTAAAAAAGCTGAGGTTGCAAATTTGCCACATATGCACACTCCAGAAGATTCAAGGACTGCTTCTTTGATGGAGGATGGAGTTGGATCTTTACACAATCAACTTCCTGAATTTTGTGTTGTCTTTTCAAATATCAAGGACAATAGTACCATATCTAGGATACTTGTTGCTACAAAAAGTTGTATAGCTAGGTGCAATTTGGCTACTCAAACAGGCTGGGCAGTTAGTAACATTCTAACTGCACTTAAAGTGGAAGATAAACTCTCACAGAAGTAAGTGTCTCATGCTGTTTGTGATGTATAAGGTCCATGTTGAGTGCCATTTGTAGGTTTTGTTTTAGTATTCTGCTTTTCATGATACGTAGAAATCATTTTATGATAGTATTATATTGTGGGCAAATGGTGGTGATAATATTAACTTTTATTATTTTGTTTGTTCTAATTTCTTTCAGGGAGAATGTTTCAGTATTGTTAACACTGCTGCTGTTCAACTTTACTGTGACTACAACAAAGACATTTGGGAAACTATGGGATGGGAGTTTTTTTGACTGCTTGAAATCTTATTCTGAACATATTTGCACAGGTTTGCTATTATGTTCCATAATCAATTTGAATTTATGAACATTAAAGTATTTTTTTAATTATATAGTTTAACATCATGGTAAGTGCACTTTATAGAACTTGGATTTAATTTGACAAAATTTCACATCTCTTTCCCCAGTTTTGTCCCGTCCAGAGACAAGAAATCTTTTTGTAGAGAATTATCCTTTGCATGAGTTTCTTGGCCTCATTGAAGATTTTCTTATTGAAGGAAAAGTTATAGTAAAGAATAGATTAGATGCTGAGACTTGGTCAGATTGTGATTTGAGAGCCAATGATTTTCGGGATTGTGTTAATGAAGTATCTTCTGATGTAGCTTCAAATGAACAATTGTTAGCTGGAAGTGTTATATTAGCATCGGTATGCGCTGCAACTGATCATGTTGGGTTTGTTTGTGAGGCTTCATATGAGATTCTTAGATTGTGCAAATGGGATTCTTTAATGGTGCTGACTATTCTTCATATTTTTGCTTATCTGGGTGGAGAAAAGTTTTTTGACTTGGATAATTTTGGTTTAGTGATGACTGTTTTGAAGTCTCTGGTTATGTCTCTTGAGCATGGGAGCCTATCCGATGGTACTGCTTGTCTTCCTTCAATAAACCAGCTACATACTGAATTTTGTATGAATGTCAAATGCCCATTCTTGGAAGGTGCTGAATCTGTTGATGTAGTTGCATGTTTGCTCTTGGAAGAGATAAAAAACTGTTGGCCTCAAGGGATTAAACGAGTTGATTTGTCTGATTCTAGATTCATGTCGGACACTTATAATGCTGGACATTGCTTTAATCAGGAAGCGGCTCAATGTGCCGTTAAAAAGAACTGTGATGTGCCTTGTTATTTGAAAAAGTGTGTGATTTCTGCTTCTCCACCAGATGCCCTTAATAATGTTGCCTTTTGTCACCTTAGTGATGTCCTGTCATTGGTGGAACTGGTAGCAAACAGAATGGTATTGTTCTCATCATTTCAAGTTAATATTGACTCTTGTTTTATAAATTCTTTTGTCAATCTCTAATTTTAAAAGTAACCCGCCCTCCTAAAAAAAATGATTTTAACTTGTTTAAGAATTCTACATTATGAAATTGGACATGGTTGTAGTTCTACTTGACAGTCGTGTTACTTGTAGTATTCACCGTCATTTGCTGAAATAAATTATTTCTTTCCAAGGCCATAGTTTTTATGTGGTTGAGTTATACTGTTCTCATACTTGTGGGATAACTTATCACTTCATTTACTTGATATCATAATATTCAAACCTGATTGCATTTTTTTCCTATTACAGAACTGGCACTGGACAGATGTCAAACTTGTTCCTCAGCTTCTGAATATACTCGACTCATGTGTAGAGGAAAACTTTGCTATTGCTATAATTGTTCTTCTTGGTCAACTTGGGAGGTAATTTGATCACTATTGCTTTGATGTTTGATAATATCATGATCAATCAACATGCATGATGTGATAAATACATTTGTTTGTATGATTAGAGGATATTTGAAATTAGAGGTATGCTTATCATTATCTGATAAATTGAGAGGAGCTTAAACAAAGAGGCCCTGAGTCAAGTCATGTTGATATGTTGTCTGTAACTTGACCACTTGTAAAAAATCCAATAATCATGACTCCTACTGCCTCATAATATCTATGATGAGTTTTGAGAGTCAATATCTATGATGTCGAGCTTATTTTGTTGTCCTGTGAAGTTCTATTGCTAATTTGGTATTATTTTGTTTCCTTTAGAAACCTGACCAACCTTTTTTCTTTGTGGGGCATATGCAGTCCAGTTCTATTAGTTGAGCTTTGTTTAGATATTAGTCAACCTATTCTTTGTTTGGTGGCACTTATCCTCAGAAGCATGCGATGATAGATGCATGTTTTTATCTTCTACAACTATTTCTCGTTGGTCACATATCTTTGAAGTTTGAACTGAACAAGCCATGGGCACATGTCCACATTTGAATATTATTTAATCTCATCTGATTTAATAAAGAAGGATGCTTTCGCATTTTTGTTTGTGTTCTAACAATAAGATAATTTCTTTGAATTTCAGGATTGGAATTGATGTTGGTGGATATGAAGACCAAGGAGTTGGAAACTTGAGATGTAGTTTGTTTTCTTATTTATGCTGCACAACTTCCATGAATGCAGGCCTTTCACTTCAAATTGCCACTGCCACTGCTCTTTTTGGCCTTCTTCCTGTTGATCTTAACGCCCTTCTTCATACTAACATCAATTTTCCAGCATTTTCCAAATCTGTTTCTGACAATGCTGAGACTTTGAGGAAGTGGTTCTCTGGTCTGGATAAAGATCAGCAGAAATTGCTGTCTGATATTTTAAAACGCACTGGTGTATATAACAAGTAAAAATTTTGTCAGTACTTTCACATGAATTAAAATACGATTCCCTTGACAATGCTCTTGGAGAAGTTTTGTAGATTGACCAATTTTTAGAAATTAGATGCGGTTGATTCAATCAGGTTGAGAGGCTTCACTTTGGCTTGGATGCTGGTGAAGTTTGTATATAATTTTTTTTTGGCTGTAAACGTGTAAATTTGTTGTTATTTTATTTATTGTTAAAACATGTTAGAGAAATTAAATGCGTTAGCCCAAAAGGAATTGTCTACGTATACATCTGTCTATCTGAGCATAGTTTCTACTGAGACTCGTGAGCCTACTAACTCAAGAGAGAGTTACTGGATCAGCAAGAAAACGGAGAGGATACAACATGGAAGAAGAAAACCATGAGCAAAGAGAGGAGAACTGTAGAAAGAATTCGGCCTGAGGTTGGAGCATGAAGTGGGATATTTTCTTTTTTATTTTACCTTCACACTTTATGTATTTAGACGCTGTTACTATTTTCAAATCAAGTGACATACATTACTGATACTATTTGTTATTTCCTCTTTCTTTAGGTAATTAACCCTGTCATTCGACCAAGATATAACAAGAAAAATACTAACTAAAGAAACGTGTGTTAGAGCTGTGCCTTTCTATTTTCCTGCTCTAATTTTTGGTGTAAAAAAGGAAAAACAAATCTTGTACTTCATAGGGTGATTCATAAAGGCATTAGATTCCATGATTATGAGAGTGACTTTTCTGAATTTGACATCAAAATCTGCTGAAATTAATTTGCTTGTGATAGTCACGTAGAACAGCTTTCTTTCACGGCCGAAGACAGCTGCTACAGATGATTGTTTCGCCAACCAAGAAACACTGCGTTTGAGGTCCCAGTCTTTTCAACCCAATTTTGTTGTTTTTCTACATAAACCAAAAGATGCTTTGCAGCAAACCAAAACGTTTAATCTTATTTTACTGAAATGGCCTAAAGACACTTGAGTTCATTTTGTCCTTTTATTATAGATGACCCTGGCGCATTTAGTTTGGCCTAAATTGGTAGCAGAATTAAAATTTACGAGCTAACCTTTTTTTTAATCCCATTTATTATATCTTAATTTTTATATTTAAAATAAGTTGAAACAAAAAAAAAAGGAGAAAAGAAAAAGACATTCGTCAACAGGAAGACATGCAATACACAACAAGCATGTAAGGACGCAATCAAGAAATCACTTATGAATTTCAACAGTTATGTGAGCAGTTATCCCTAAATTAACAAAATGTCCCAATGGTATCAGCATGGACCTAAAATAATAAACCACGGCAACAATTAGAAAACTATATTTTTCAAACTGGCTTGGCAATTTGTATAAAAAATTTCAGAATTCAAAGACTAAAAGTTAAAAGTAGTAAAATAAAAGAAATAAAATTGAAAAGAAAAACAAACAGAAAAGAGAGAAAGAATTTTGTCATACGTAACATGCCATGTTAACATCACTTTAAAAACAAAATTTTAGAAATACAAAAGTTTAGTTAAATTTTTTTGTAAATTATTAAAACCTTGTTAATTTAAAAACGCAATTTTTTCATGCCATTAGATATGTGAGTCGAGTTCGTGGTTTCTAGCGTGTTTGGATTCGTCTAAATCGTCATAAATTAACGTTTAATTTATCAAACTAAATCATTAATAGGCAACGGAATTATTAATCTACAGCACTATATTAAAATTCTTGAATACTTGCACTTGACCCAAGGGATTGTTCTATTGTGTTTATCCCTATGCCAAAACAAGAAATTAAAATGAGAGAGTAAATAATATTAAAAAGAAAAGAAGGTGAATACCCTGGTGCTATAAAAGTAAACAAAAGGAGAGGAGGGGTCTTCTAAAAATATATATACAGTAAGGGATCTCAAGGGTCGATTTCGTTCCTTTCATTTTCTTTCAACCTTTTAACACGCATAGCAAACAAAGTATGCAATAAGAAAAAACAATCTCAGTCGAGGATTGAATCAATCAAGCTCACAAAGATACTACACTCCAAATTTCTCCTATCAAATGAAAAGAAAAGTATCTATTGTTAGTAACTTTTAAGTTAATTTCACAAAATATATTTTACCCACATTTTATATATAAAGATTTACATATAATTTATTCAATAACAAAGATTTTAATGAAAAAAATGTATCAATGTTATTGCCGCTGCTCGTTTCGTAAGTCGGCTGAAGACTTGTAGCTGCTTCACAACTAAAAGTCAGCACTTCCCACATGTACCAAGACTATAGGAGAAAGACCCAAAAAAAGCTGCTTGAGAGAATCTAATTGAACCGCTTACAATGTTCAAATCAAAAGTCAATTCATTATTAGGAATAAATTAATATTTGGGGTAGTTTTACCTAAGACAAGAGGCACATGGATACAACTAGTGGGTACCAACAAAACAATCTATAGGAACGGCAGTTACAAAATCTTGGGTGGCACTAATATTCCACATGCATTTTTTTTGGTCAAACCACATGCATTTATAATGGGTATACTTGTAATGCCTCCTACCATGCACTGAACTAGTTGTCCCTTGTGAGGCACATACCATGGGTTCTGTGGAGCACCGACCGTTGTTACTAGGGCTTGACTCTCACTCACACAATCAAAATTTGTCATCAGATGACATTGAAGAATTCTTGGAACATAGGCCCATTGGGTTGAGATGGTGGGCTAAGCTTGTTGCTTGGGAGTCAAGGCTCCTCTGGCTCCTTTCTGGGGCTTCTATTGTTGTGTCCATTTTCAATTATATGCTAAGTTTTGTGACTTTGATGTTTACGGGGCATTTGGGGTCTCTAGAGCTTGCTGGGGCATCCGTAGCAAGTGTTGGAATTCAAGGTCTTGCTTATGGAATCATGGTATGCTTTTTTCTGCTCATATACTTGGCTTTAGTTATTAAATGTCACCAACTCACCATTTAAACAACTTAAAAAAGTAACTTCTACGAGTGAATTTAGTATAGTTAAAAAAAATTACGAAGTACTTTAATTGAAATCAACTAGACATTCTTCCTTACTTTTTGGCTTGGCTTTAGAGTAGAGGCAATACCACTACTTAAGCCTTTCCAAATGTTATATTTAATAAGATACAGTTTATACTGTAGTTTAATCTCATTTTAAAGAAGAGTGGGCTTATGACTGTAAATGTTCGAACTTATTTGACATTGCATTCTGCAGGGCCAGAGTTGATTTGTATCTCTTTCATTAAGGAAATTTTGTTTTATTTAATGTGAAACTTAACTATAAATATGAATAATTGTGATTATGACATTTTCCTTAAATAGCTGGGGATGGCAAGTGCGGTGCAAACTGTGTGTGGTCAAGCATATGGGGCCAAAAAGCATGCAGCAATGAGCACAATATTGCAAAGAGCAATAATCTTACACATTGCTGCAGCAGTGATTCTCTCGTTCCTATATTGGTATTCTGGGGCTTTTCTAAAAGCCATAGGACAGTCAGATAGCATAGCTGAGCAAGGCCAGCTCTTTGCACGTGGAATTATCCTTCAACTCTATGCATTTGCAATAAGCTGTCCAATGCAGAGATTCCTCCAAGCACAGAACATTGTGAATCCTCTGGCATATATGTCAGTTGGAGTCTTCCTCTTGCATGTGCTTCTGAGCTGGATTGTCGTTTATTTTTTGGGCTATGGCCTTCTTGGGGCAGCCCTTACTCTTAGCTTTTCTTGGTGGCTTCTTGTCTTGTTAAATGGGCTCTACATCATATTTAGCCCAAGATGCAAGGAAACTTGGACTGGCTTCAGTGTAAAAGCCTTTAAAGGAATTTGGCCTTATTTCAAGCTCACAGTTGCTTCTGCTGTGATGTTATGGTATGACTTAATGATTATATGTCAATGTTCCCCTTGTTTTCACTTATGTACACACACGCACATACACATTATTGTTTCCTATATATAGCTCTTGAATTGAATTCAATTTGTTCTATTAATCTGAAAGCGTATCATAATGTAGTTTGGAGATATGGTACAATCAAGGACTAGTGCTTATATCAGGGCTTCTCTCCAATCCCACAGTCTCACTGGACTCTATTTCCATTTGGTATGTTAATATTTTTTCTTAGAAATAGCTTAATTATCATATGCCAACATGTTGTCTAACAATAATTTCCATTTTCATGTACTTCCAGTATGAATTACTTGAACTGGGACATGCAATTTATGTTGGGCCTAAGTGCAGCAGCCAGGTCAGTGACCTAAAAAATGTTCTTCATTTAAACAACTTTCTCACAAACATACTAATGCTAGGATCTGTGGTTGCAGTATCCGAGTTAGCAATGAATTAGGAGCAGCTCATCCAAGAGTAGCAAAATTTTCTGTTTTCGTAGTGAACGGAACCAGCATAGTCATCAGTGTGGTTTTCTGTGCAATTATTTTGATATTCCGGGTTGCTTTGAGCAAACTTTTCACTTCTGACTCTCAAGTCATTGAGGCTGTGTCTAACTTGACTCCATTGCTTGCCATCTCCGTTTTCTTAAATGGCATTCAACCTATACTGTCAGGTAATAAAGCATATTAACATAAGCACCAATTTTTGGTTTATCCCTTCTTTTGTTTACTTTTTCATGGAAAATTTCAGGGGTGGCAATCGGAAGTGGATGGCAAGCTATAGTGGCTTATGTAAACTTAGCTAGTTACTATGTCATTGGTCTTACCGTTGGATGTGTTCTTGGCTTTAAAACCTCTTTAGGAGTTGCTGTGAGTTTGAAACATTTCTCTCACTAATTCTAGTTCTTAAGTTTGCATAAAAACTAATGTCATGCAATGCATTTGTGGTTTTTATAGGGAATCTGGTGGGGAATGATCCTTGGAGTTCTTATACAAACAATAACTCTAATAATTCTGACTGCCAGAACAAATTGGAATGCAGAGGTAATCAAAATTCTTATATATATATTTTATGTAACTTGAATAGCTGGTCACACGTGAAGTGATGAACCATTTTATAATGTTGTTGTAGGTTGAAAATGCTGTATCTCGCATCAAGAAATCAGCTGAAGATGAGACCTTAGATCAACTGGTTGCAAATGAATAGAGGCATTTATCTCTTTTTATTTCTTCAGGAATGGTTGAAATACATCTTAGCTGCAGAGAAATCATGTTTTGGACCAGTTAAAGGGATATTGTTGATGGGTTTCTTCTCCCAATCTGTTTACATAATTTTGTATTTAATCGTGTTTAGTCTAACACTTTGATGAAGTATCAATATTGACTAGTGATAAACATTCATTGTTTTTCAAACTTTATTGAAGCAAATTCCCAAATTACATTCATCATTGATGGTACAAGAAAGATTTTAAAACATTAAATATAGTTTTCAGAAAATGTAAGTGTATCATTGTGAAAATAATATACTAATAATTCTTTCATGCTTATTCGGTGTACACAAAAAATAACAAATTTTAATGTTAGTTATTAACCTAAAATACTATTCAAACTCCTGCCCCAAAAAATGATTAAATATAAACAACAAATAATAAAAATGACATAATGCAAGTGAAATACATTTATCAATTAAATTAAAGTAAATAGATTGACTATACGTTCTTATGTACAAATGTAACGTTCTTTCACTCTAGCCGTTAAATTTAATTTTTTCACAAGATCTTATAAATTTAAACATTAATAAACGGTTTATCATACATAGGGATGGAATCATGGAAACAGGCCAGGCCAGACCAGGCTTTACTTTAAACAGGCATGACCTGTTACATAATTATTAGGTCAGAGCTTGGCCTGTTATCTGTTAAAAGCTTTATTTTAGGCCTGATCTGACCTGTTTAAGTGGCCTGACCTGGCCTGAAGCCTGTAAATATAAATATAAATATTTTATTATGAAATTAGTTTATATATATTTTTAATTTCTATCTATGTTATTAATAATTATTAAATAATTATAATAATATTAATATAATTTTATAAATAATTTTTAAAATATTATTTAAATATTAATTATAAATATTTTATATTAATAAAATTTATATTTATATTTTTCTTGATTTATTTTTTAAAAATTATATAAATAGTAAATATTTTAGTTTTATTTTAGTAACATATTTTGTTTGTTTAAAGATATCTTATATTCAACAAATAAAGTTACAGTAAACATATAAAATTGATAAAAAAAAAAAATAACATTCACACAATTTCTTGAATCAATTAAAAAAAAAATTACCATATTTTAAAAAATAAATAAATTTAAACTTAATGCAATATATATATATATATATATATATATATATATAATGACAATAATAATAACTATTAAATTAAAAAAATAATTACAAAATATTTAATTTTTTTTATTAATTTGTTATTTTAAATTAACAAATAAACTTAAAATTAACATAGAAAATATTACTGATACAATAAATTAAAACATATACTTATATATTACATATAAATTGATAAATTAACTAATAATTTAATTAAAACACGTAGAAGTTACAAAAATATATATTATTATATAATTTATTTATAATTATATTATTTATATTATTTGTTACATGGTCTGATTATATATATATATATATATATATATATATTATAATAAATTTTTTATTTTCTTTTCTTACTATTTTTTATAAATTTTTCCTTTCAAATAAAATATAATTTATATTTAAGCAACTTTTATCTATTATAAATATAAAAAATTATAACATAATATACTAATATAATAATTAAATATTAATAATAATAAAATTAAAAATATAAAAAATTTATTAAAAGAATATTAATATTTTATTTTTTAATTTTAATTCATTTAATTTTGATCGTGTCTTATTCTTCTTCAGCTTGTTTAAATATAACAAATATAATAATTTATAATTAAATAAATTTATTAATTAAACACTTGTAATCGTGTACAAATATTTTTAGTTTTGAATATAATATAATTTTTATTTATTATAAATAAAAAATTATAACATAATATATTAATATAATAATTAAATATTAATAATAATAAAATTAAGAATATAAAAAATAATTTAATATAATATTATTTTTTTAAAATATTAATTTCTTTAATTTTGATTGTGTTCTAAACTTATTCAAAGACTTTGCTGCTCTTTAGCTTGTTCAAATAAATATAATAATTTACCTTATATTTATATTCAAGGTAACTATAGATAATAATAAAACAAGAATAAAAAGTAAGTGCGATAGCAGTTTTGACTCACAGGCATATAGTTGTGCTAAGTTTGTGATTTGTTGTGAGGTAGTAAATACAATCAATAAAAAATTTTATTATAAATTTTATAGCAATAAATTACTTAAGAAAAGATAAAAAAATAAAATAAAATTTGTATAATATTAAAAATTTATAATGATTGTTGTTATTGAATAATATTAATAAAAATATAATTATTTTATTATCAAATTAGTTTACATATATTCAAATTTTTATTTGTATTATTGATAATTATTAAATAATTGTAATAATTTTTATACAATTTTATAAATAATTTTTAAAATATTATTTGAGCATTAATTATAAATATTTTCATATTATAGAATTTTTATATTTTTATTTTCTCAATTTAATTTTATAAAATTATTAAATATTTTAATTATTTTTTATGATAATTATATTTTGTTTGTATAAAGACATTTTATATTCAATAAATAAAAATACAGTAACCACATAAAATTGATAATAAAAAATAACACTTACAAAATTTATTGAATTAACTAAAAAATATTATATTTTAAAAAGTAAATAAATATCGTCATTATAAAAATTGTAAATAAAAAATATTTATATTATAAAATTCATAGATGCAGAAAAATAACATATGAGCATAAGAAGAATTATTAAAATTTATATTTAAATTAAAACAACTTATATTTCTAAATTTTTATTTTAATTAAAAAAATATGTGATAAAACTTAATATAAAAATTTAAACTTAATGTACTATATATATATATATATATAAAATGACAACAATAATACATATTAAATTAAAAAAATAATTATAAAATATTTAATTTTTTTGTTTCATTAATTTGTTATTTTAAATTAACAAATAAACTTAAAATTAATTACACTATAACATTAATGTAATATAGAAATTATTAGTTTATTATTGATACAATAAATTAAAATACATACTTATATATTGCATATAAATTGATAAATTAACTAATAATTTAATTAAAACACATTCAAGTTACAAAAATATATATTATTATATAATTTATTTATAATTATATTATTTATATTATTTACTACATGGTCTGATTATATATATATATATATATATATATATTATAATAAATTTTTTATTTTATTTTGTTATCATTTTTATTTTTAAATAAAATATAATTTAAATTTAAGCAATTTCTATTTATTATAAATAAAAGTAATTATAACATAATATATTAATATAATAATTAAATAATTAAATTAATAATAATAAAATTAAGAGTATAAAAAATATGTTAATATCATTTTATTATTTTATTTTTAAATTTTTAAATTTTATTTCGTTTAGTTTTAATTACGTCTTATTCCTGTTCAAAGATTTAACTATTTTTTAAATTGTTTAAATATAATAAATGTAATAATTTATTATTAAATAAATTTATTATTTAAAATGTGTAATCATGTATAAATATTTTTAATATTTAATAGAATATAATTTCTGTTTATTATAATTATAAATAAATAAAATTATAACATAATATATTTATTTAATAATAACAAAATTAAGAATATAAAAAATATATTATTAAATAACTTAATTATTTTAATATATTTTGATAGCTCTTTTTTTAAATTATATAATATATATATATACATATTTATTTATTTATTTATATAGGCGGACCTGTCAGGCTTAACAGGCTTTATAAACAGCTCAAGCCTGACTCATTTACTTAAACAGGCTTTAAAAAAAGTCTAAACCTGATTTATTTATTAAAAAGGCCAGGTCAGGCCAGGTCACAGGCCCCTGTCAGGCGGCCTGACCTGTTTCCATCCCTAATCATACATCTTAATTTAATATATAAAATGTTGTTTATATTATAAGTAAAGAGAAATACCAACATCTATATATTCATATTTAGTATCTTCTATATATTATTTGATTCCTAAAATTATTATATTATAATCATTTTAATTCTTAAAGTTACTAGACGATCACTGTTTTAATATAATTATCATTATAAAGATTAGAATGAAAATTTTAGTAAAATTAAGAATTAATATGATATTTGAAAAAATAGTTAAATCAATTACTATTAATATTTTTAAGAATTATTTTGAGGAATTACTAAAAAAAAAATGCAATTGAAAGGTCTCACTATATATATAATTGTGCTTCCACACTATTAATTTTATTTGCTATGTATAATTAGATGACGGTACATTAGCAACACATGCATGACTATTATTATTGAAAAAGAATATAAGTAGAAAACAAATAAAGAATAAAGGACAAGTAACGTCCGGACAAAAACTAAAATTATATTTTTACACCTATTTTTATATTTATTTTTATTTTTCTATTACAATATTTATTTTTTTATTTACTTCTCTTTCTTTCACCTACTTTACATTTATTTATTTTATGAAAAAATAAAGAATAAAGTATAGTGTTGGTTGAAGACTTGAAGGAAATTCCCAACCAAATGTCAGTCCTTCCCTCTTTGAACTTCACATTGACTCAATCTATCTATTAAAATTTTAGATTTTAAGAAAAACAAAGGATAATATAAACATACATAAACTATATACATAAATTTTAATCAAATTTCATTTTAAGAAACTTGAAAAGTTAACAAGGCCTATCAAAAGTATATATATTTGTAATGTAAAAAAATTTCAAATTTTTACATTACAAAGATAACCTTTTTAAATATTTATTTTTGAAACTAATATATTTATTGTAAAATTTTAAACATATTTTTAATCAAAATATATTTTTTGTTGAAATAATACAGACAAAAGAGCCCAAAAATAACAAAACAAGTTATCTCTGTTTTTTTTTCTTTTACTTTTTAAAGTTTATAACGATTGAATATGCTATCTTTTTTAGTTATTTTAGCAATGGTTTTAAAAGAGTTTAATATTTTTAAGTATTTCACTTAACCAAATATAGTCTAAGTGGATTGCTAATTGGGTTCTCTTTTAAATCACAAAACATGTAGGAAAATAATTCTTTTACTTGGCCTAAAAACATAAAATTTAAAAGGATTCTACTGAGTTGTGTCATAAAAGATTAGACGCAAGTTAAGGAATTACAAAATAAACTTTGTTAAATGAAAGTAAAAGTAATTAATATTTTTTTAAAAATCGTAAAATATCTTGAAAATCTAAATGATTATTATTTTCTAAGAAATAAAATAACTTAATAAAAAAGGTTATTTTCCTTGAAAAAAGATGCACGGGTTATAAACATCTTAATGTTTGTGTATTGGAGTCAAACCCTTAACTAATTTTTCTTTTTCTTTTGGTGTCAACAACATTAATACCTGTTTCTGTATTGGGTCGGATACGATTAGCGTACTCTAACATGTGTTCCTTTTGCAGCAAACAGTTTCTTTTCAAAGAAAAAGGGAAGAACTTAATGTACCAAAAAAACAAATTTAGAAATAATGAATAATGATTATTGATTGCCGACAAAAGTCGAGACAAGTCAACAGCAAGTAGTAAGAATTTGAGATTATTCTGTTGAGGACTTTTAAGTTCACAACTAATAAAAGGTCTCTCCTCATTTTACCATTTGAAATTAATTTTATTATATATTATGATATATATTTTAATGTAAAATAACAGTTCAAAATCACAACTATTAAAATCAATTTTATCACACATTAAAAGAAATTGTATATATAAGTTGCTTCCCAATGAGTAATTAATGTTGAATATGGCCTTAGATGAGTACATAATTGGGGTTAGTTTTAGCTACTTTTCTAAGTCAAGAGGCACATAAGTAAAATGAGTCAACTTGGGACAGATAGGTATACAACTGGTTGGTACCAAAAAAACAATACTAAATTGGAAAGGTAGTTACAATTTCTTGGAGGGTTCTTTATAATTGATCATCGTGCATCCTTCCCATGCACTGAACAAGTAGGGACTTGTGAGACACAACCAATCATGGGTTCCATGGAGCAACAACCGTTGCTACTAAGGCTTGATTCACACACACAACTTCGAAATTTATCATCAGATGACGTTGAAGAATTATTGGAACATGGGCCTATTGGGTTGAGATGGTGGGCTAAGCTTGTTGCATGGGAGTCAAGGCTTCTCTGGCTTCTATCTGGGGCTTCTATTACTGTGTCCATTTTCAACTATATGCTAAGCTTTGTGACCTTAATGTTTACTGGGCATTTGGGGTCTGTAGAACTTGCTGGGGCATCCGTAGCAAGTGTTGGAATTCAGGGTCTAGCTTATGGGATTATGGTATGCTTCTTTTTATGGTCATTTACTTGACTTCAGTAATATAAATTAAACCAAATGACACCAACATAGTTTATAGAAGTAACTTCAAAATTGTTTCTTACTAAGCTTTTTTGTACCAGTTTGATTTAAAATTGAGTAAAATTATTTAAATACATACGCATGTCATTCTGAATCATATATTTTTTTTATCAACTGTAAAGCCAACAAGAGCCAAGTGGTGGCAATACCAGTACTACTACTTAGACACAAGTACATACTATATAGTTTATGCTCATTTAAAGTAGAGTGAATGTAATTATTTTGCATTTTGTTTATATAGCTGGGAATGGCAAGTGCGATCCAAACTGTGTGTGGACAAGCATATGGTGCAAAAAAGCATGCAGCAATGAGCATAATATTGCAAAGAGCAATAATCTTACACGTTGGTGCAGCAGTGATTCTCTCATTCCTCTATTGGTATTCTGGGGCTTTTCTAAAAGCCATAGGACAATCAGAGAGCATAGCTGAGCAAGGCCAAGTCTTTGCACGAGGACTTATTCTTCAACTCTATGCATTTACAATAAGCTGTCCAATGCAGAGGTTTCTCCAAGCACAAAACATTGTGAATCCTCTGGCATATATGGCAGTTGGTGTATTCCTTCTTCACGTGCTTCTCAACTGGGTTGTTATTTTTGTTTTGGGCTATGGCCTTCTTGGGGCTGCCCTTACTCTTAGCTTTTCTTGGTGGCTTCTTGTCTTGTTAAATGGGCTTTATATACTTCTTAGCCCAAGATGTAAGGAAACTTGGACCGGCTTCAGTGTAAAAGCTTTCAAAGGAATTTGGCCTTATTTCAAGCTCACAGTTACTTCTGCTGTGATGTTATGGTACGATCACTTAAGTTTAAAACTACCCATAATTCACTTTTTCTTTTCATTTCTGTATCATCATATCCAATCACTACAAATGGTGGATTGTCTGTGGTCCTGAGCACCTTATACAGTGTTGTCAAAGTGTAATTTTCATTTTCTTATATACATACATAGCCATCAGGTCCCACTCACACACCCATTATTATTCCAAAATGTGGCTCTTGAATTCACATAAATTTGTTTCAATAATATGAAAATGTATCTTAATGTAGCTTGGAGATATGGTATAGTCAGGGACTAGTGATTATATCAGGGCTGCTGCCTAATCCCACAATTGCACTGGACTCTATTTCTGTTTGGTATGTTGATAATTTCTATTAGAATATTATTAAATTTTGTTACTATTTGCTAACATGTCTAACTATAATCTCCATTCTGATTATGTAGTATGAATTATCTGAACTGGGACATAAATTTTATGCTGGGCCTTAGTGCAGCAGCAAGGTTAGTGACAACAATGTGTTTTTCATTTAAACAAAAACTTCCACACAAACATGTTGATGATAGCAAGGTTGTGTGCTTGCAGTGTTCGAGTTAGCAATGAATTAGGAGCAGCTCATCCAAGAGTAGCTAAATTTTCTGTCTTCATAGTGAATGGAACTAGCATCCTTGTCAGTATGGTTTTCTGTGCGATTATCTTGATATTCAGGGTTTCTTTGAGTGAACTTTTCACTTCTGACTATCAAGTCATTGAGGCTGTATCTAATTTGACTCCATTGCTTGTTATCTCGGTTTTCCTAAATGGCATTCAACCTATACTGTCAGGTAATAAAAGCTATGACTAAGCATATTAGAATAAGCACCAAATTTGGTTTATCCCTCCTTCTGTTACTTTTCCTTAGAAAATTTCAGGGGTTGCAATTGGAAGTGGATGGCAAGCTATAGTGGCTTATGTAAACTTGGCTTGTTATTATGTCATTGGTCTTACCATTGGATGTGTGCTTGGCTTTAAAACCTCTTTAGGTGTAACTGTAAGTTTGGAACATTTCTCTCACATCTAGTTCTTAATTTTGTATAAAGATTAGTGTCATACAATGCATTTGTGGTTTTCTAGGGAATCTGGTGTGGAATGGTCCTTGGAGTTCTTATACAGACAATAACTCTAATAATTCTGACTGCCAGAACAAATTGGGGAGTTGAGGTAATGAAAATTCTATACTAAGATCTTATTTATTTGATGTTAATTAATTCACTGTCACATGTGAACCAATTTGTAATGTGTTTTAGGTTGAAAAAGCTATTGCTCGCATCAAGAGAGCGGCTGAAGATGAGACCTTAGGTCAGCTAGTTGACACTTGACAACATATAGAGGCATTTATCTTTCTTGATTCAGGCATGTCAACAACAGCATTTTAGCTGTAGATAAATATTGTTTTAGGCTACTAGGAAAGTCAACTTAATTTTTAAAATAATATAATGAAAGCCAACTTTCACTCCAAGCATAATTATGTGGAGCATTGTTTCTCAAACCATCAATTTGTAGTGAATTCCCAAGTTACGTCAGCGGTGGTTGTGCTAGAGACTCGGAAAAAAATAATTCTGAGAATTCAGGACATGATGTACGACTGAAATGTAAATGCATGGTTGAGAATATGATCTACAAATAATTCCTATCTGCCTATATGCCCCGTACAATATGAATGAAATTAATTGTTACGTTGGATGCTGACTTAAAATACTATCCTTACCTGCACATTCAAATGCTCTAAAAATAAGTAATTAACAATTAAAATGTGTTACGTGATAAAATAGGACAATATAAGCTAAACTTAGTAGACGAACTCCGCATAAAAAATACACTTATGAATTAACAAACTATATGTTCATCTGATTTAAAATAATTACCTTAATATATTTTCAAATTAATGCATACCTATTTTTTTTTTACTTATTTTGCTTTATTATTTTTTAAAATAATATTATGTATACAATTGATAAATAAATAAAAGATATGTATAATTTTAAAAAAAAATAAAATTATTTTACACTAATATAAATTTAAAAACTCTTATACTTAATGTGATAAAAAGTTCAAATTAAATGTAAAAATTTTTAAACTTACACTGGTATAAGAAAATCCTACCATTTTTAAAAATTAACAAACATCAACATATAAAAAATATATATGAAGCAAGAAAAAAAAAGATTTTTTAATCAAGAAAGGTATAAATATAACAAAAGCTAACTTCAAAGGAAGCCAAAGTAATTAACCTTATATTATATTCAACTGGTCTACTTACCATGATTTTGCAAAGTTTTCAAATGATAAACTAATGAGCTTAAAGATAAACACAAAATGACAAAAAAAGATACCCATAAAATACCAAGGCGTTACCAAATTACTAAAACTTTTCTAAGTTATTGATGAGAAAATTCAAACTCTAGGAGTCACAGCACCTCCCAGTCCAAGGTACACATGTTCACATTAATATTCAACACAACATTTAACAACAAATATGCCACTCGTAAGGGGCTTTATAGGGCCTCCAGGAGATTACAGACGAGAGATCTGAAGTGGTATCACTGAAGCATCCTCTCCCATTACCGGTTGGAACAAATCAAGCTCACCATAACGCTCCAACACACGCATTCTGCAGTCCTCAGCAGCCATCACTCCCGTAGAGAATGCACCATGCACAGACCCTGTATACAATGTACTCGTTGCTTCCCCTGCAAAGAATAAATTATCTACAGGGACCCGTAGCCTCTCGTACAGATCATGTGGTTTGCCAACTAAATCATAGCTATAGGAACCTAGTGTATTAATATCTGTACCCCATCGAGACACAAGATACTGAATCTGCATCATTGAAACAAATTACATCTTTCAAAAGTCAAAACACATACAACAGACTCGACAACAAAGTAGAGCTTATTCAATTCAAACATATAGCAATCATGGTTACCCATTATACCAATACCAGATATAGGTTGAGGCATTTACTTTTCTTGCACAGTTAAAAAGTGAAGAAATGAATAATTAAAATTATCATGATTACCGGTGAAGAAGCATCTGGAAGGATCTTTTTGAGCTGCATGAAAGCAAAGTTAGCAGCTGCTTCATCAGACATTTTTTCAATGTCTTTGGCCAGCTGCCCAGCAGGCATGTAAACAAGGACAGGATGACCTGCAGCCTTGTGGAGATTAAGAAAGTAGCTGCATCCATAAGATGACTCTGCAACTACTCCTAAGAATTCCACATTGGGCCAAAACACATTTTTAAAGTGTAAAATTATTTTATTCTCAATCCCAACCCCAATATCAGAAATAGCAGCTTCTTTCCAGTCTGGGAGCTTTGGCTCAAATTTTATGTTCTTTGCTTTCAGCACCCCAAGAGGTACAGCAACAATAGCAGCATCAGCAACAAATGTTTTCCCATTTTCCACGGTCACCTTTACTCCATTATATTGCCTAAATATTTTTGTGACACTGAGAAGAGGTATCAATGCCATTACATTAGCTAAGCAAAACAACAAGACAGACTTCCAAAATGAAACTCTAACCTAATATATACCTGTGTCCTAGGCGAATGTCAAGACCCTTGGCTAGGGTATGTATAACAGGCAGGTAACCCCTGACCATTAGACCATGACCACCGGGGAGCAATACTTCCTGCATGCAGATATACAGAGAAGGATAAGTTATACACAAAAGTTGATGCATGTAGTAATTCTAGCAACATACTCTGACAATGATCACCTATGAAGCCATTTATCTCTCTCATATGAAACCAGTAAAAATGACATATACTGCTTTTTAACCTCAAACTCAATCCAATGGGGGCATAAATGTGATTTTGCAACTTTACGATCATGTTCTTCAATTATATGTACAAAGAAAAATATCAACACGGATAAAAAAACTGGAAAAAAAGAGTTACCCAATCACTTCAGCTCACCGGCTATCAATGATTTGACATGCCAATCAATTTCCAATGGCAGCAACTCTAATGGAATGTGTACAAAAATTGAACCCAAACATTTCAAACTTCGTTTTGTCAAATTACCTGATCCCAACATTTCAGTGATATGGCATCAGCATCTGCAGCAAACCAACCTTCCATTCTGCATATGTACCACTGAAGCACCTTGTGAGAAAGCCCCTCCAACCTGCATCCAATAGTGAAAGTTAAATCATAAATCAGTTGAGCTTCAAGAAAATGATTAATCGTGGTCAAAGAATTTAAGTTTTATGCCAATAATGACCTCAATTCTGGCTTTCTTTCAAAAACAATTGAAAGTGCACGGAGTATGGACATATCTTCACTGAATTCCTCTCGTACATTATTTGTCTGCATTAGAATAGGGTCAATCATTAGAGGTGATGCTCATAACAAGTGAAATCAAACATTGGTTGTATCAATTACTAAAGCATTGTATTCCTGAACATTGCTTTCAATTATGAAAATTCAATATATCAGGTAACCCAAATATCTAGAAATATTAAATCACTTGCCTCTTGTAAAATCATTTCAAATATTTTACCAACTTTTGTTACCAACTCTTGGGGAACTTGATTCCCATTCATATCAAAAAGTGCATAGCTGCAAGAAGTTGAAGAATTTCGATTAAAATAATTTGTATCTGATAATGTACACAATTCAGGATAAGCAGAAGGTGTATTCAAGCATACACTACAGTCATCAATATCAAATAATTATGAAAGTGCAGCAGATATAGATAACTAATATCATTTAACATAAAAAAGAGATGTCTTTACCTTTCCAAATCATGGTCATAAAGGACAGAGTTATCCTCACTAGTACGGTAAAGAGGTAATCCCAGCTTCCCAATCATTGGAGCCAGAGGATTCTCCTTGCAAACTCCATGCAACCTGAACCACAGTCTTCCAATTTTAATACTCAAAAGGAGAGATGTTGCATTCTTGTCAACATTAAAAGAGAGAGAGAGAGAGCAGAATGTAAGCTCTACCATGATGCTCCCAGGTCAACAGGAAAGCCAAATGAGTAATCAGTATGAATACGGCCACCAAGTCTTTCCCGTGATTCTAAAAGGACAACCTGACAAAAGAAGTACACTTTGGTATAACTCCCCAAATGCAAATAAATGAACAAACAACTAGAAAAGCATGTATTTCAAGGAGGGAAACAAACAATAAAGGAGACGTTGCCTCTCTTCATTTGCTAAATATACTACAATCCATGCAGCTAGTCACAAACACAGATAGTTGCAGTCATGTTGGAAGCCACAAGCCAGATTTGGAAAACATATCATTGTGTATTAGAGTACCAGGCAATGCAAGTCTGACTGACTAAAAATTTTAAGTGAAACATAGTAATTAACTGCATTATTTGCTTGAATACCTGAAATGAGGCATCATGAAGTGCACGAGCAGCAGCAATCCCAGCCATGCCACCGCCTATGACAATAACAGAAGGGGACCTCCCCTGCTGCTTGTCAGCATTTGCATAGCAAAGACCTACAATGAATGGGAGCATCGAAGTTACTTATTGCAGATATCCAGTGATAGAATCAAAATTTCTAAAAGAAGACAACTCTAAGATACACAAGCGCAGCTCTGTTGTAATTTTCTCCTTTTACAATTTAGCGGTTGACCCATTATTTTATTTTCCTTTTTCAAGTGATACTCTCATTTTTTAGCAATAAAATTTATTTTCAAGCACCTGAGAGTAAAACCAGCCAAGATACAACCAAAAGAGTTAACATCGCTTTCACTAGCCCTAACACAGATCTATTTCAAAGTTAAAATTACGCAATACGCATGCACGTGTTCATATTGAAAACAAAACGTCATGCACCAATAGATACAACACGAAATTAATTTAAACTGAAACTGAAAAAGAATAATTTTAAAAAAAAAGTTGTAGAGAACAAATTACCTTTGCGTAATTGGGAATTACCCTTGAATCGGGACTCCATATTGTGACGATAAACGGAAATTAGGATTGAGATTAGTTTTAATATTGCTTAATATCTCGAAATTGAAGAATTGAGGGGAGAAATGGAGAATAAAAATTAATAAACAATTAATGAAGTTAAATGAATTCAAATTCGGGAATAAACGCAGCTTCCCAAACCAGCTCATGCAGCTAAATTTTCCAAAGCCCAACCACAACCACTCTCACACTCAGCTCGATCGGATCGCGAAGAGGCCAAGCGAAAATCGCCACCGTCTGCGGAGAATCGAGAAGAAGAAACTTGGGTGAGAGGGGTAGGTCAGTGTTTGGTTGCCGAGCAAATTTAGATGAGAAAGGAAAAGAAAAGAAAAGAAAATTAAGCCGAAATTAATAATTGGCGTTAAAGGAAATGCCAATAAAAAAGTTGCAGCTTTTTATTTTTATAGAGTTTGTTGCTTTGTGCCAACCAAACCGACGAGGATGGTGAAGCTACGCGTCGTATACTCCTCTTTGTAAATTTGATGGCTCAAAACGACACGCTTGGGCCGTTGATTTTTCTCCACTACCCAACTGAATATCTATCACGTTGTTAGGTTTATTCTTTTATTGTAATTTATTTTAGGTATATAATATCCTAATTCTTCAAAACTGTTGTTTTACATTAAAACAATGCAAGAAAAACGATACATATGTAAAACAAATACTTTTACTAGTTTTAATAAAAATAAATAACTTATTTATTAAAAACATTCATAATAACTTATTTACATTAAATAAACAGCTATGCTCAGTTATATAAAAATGAAGAAATGTTTTAATAACTTTAAAATATTTTTAATGCTATGATTTTTATTTGGTACTTAATTTTTGTACTTTTAAAAATAAATTAAAGATACTAATCTAAACAAATGACTCAATATCATTTAAGAAAGATTTTAAATTTAAATATATAAATTTAATTTTGATAAAATACTCACTTATTATATTTATTTACGCAATTTATATCAAATTCAGATTAAACCTTATAAAAAATATAGATTAAATATAAGATATATGATAGCTGAATAGGGTTTATAGCTTAAAACCTAACTTTTCATTAATAGTGGGAATCAAATTACGTCGTTCATAACGTTTTGAGTCTTTGACACACTATTTGAATTTTATAGAAATTACAAAATTCAACTATCACCATGGTTTTTTCTTGTTTTTTTTTTTGTTTACAGAGCCAATAACTTTTTCAACGGGCCACAAGCCTTAAGTAAAACATAAAGGCCCATATGCAAATGGTGACTCTATACGATAAAATTCATATACGGAGGAAAAGCCCAAAAAGGAAACCGAAAATGAAAAAAAAAACAGAAAAAAACTAACTTTATATTTAATATTATCGTATGTTATCAAAGTAAAATTCTGAGTTGAACACATTAATTATTTGACAGAAGGTTGTTTCAAGTTAATGTAATTTCAAATTTGAGTTTCATATTAAATGTAATTATGATAAATATTTTTAAAAAATTATTATGTATAACAATTCTATCTAATTTGAATATGATTACTTCTAATAAAAGATATATAGTATAGAAAATTAAAAATCTAATTTTAATTAATAAGTAATACTAATAATTTATAAAAAATTACACTTAAAAATTTATTATTTTTAATTTATAATGAAAAATATATAATGACAAAATTTTAAATTATAATATTTAATATTATTAATATATTAAATTTTATAATTTTTAACAATGTTGTGAGCACTGAGGGACCCTAGAGCAATCGGCAACCTGCCAACCACCCAAACCCCATTAAACATGAAAATACAGCCAAAAAAACCGACATCTCATTTTCAGATTGAAATTGGCCGATATGTTTGGGACATTGGTTTGAAAAAGAAAAGATAATTTTTATTTTAATTGAATTTTTTAATTCAATTATATTTTAATGAAATATTATAAAATTATCATAGATGACTTCTAATTTGTTCTTATTTATATTCTAGTGTATATGCTTTTGTTTATAAATTAGCAAATGTTCTGCGTTGCATAACTGTTTCTAATTTAAATAAAACAATATATGTATGTAACTTAGATTCAGAAAGACAAAAGTAAATTTAAAAAATGAACGAGATTTATTTTTAAAGTATAAATAATTGAGACATGCAAAAAAAATAAAATTACAATCTCTAATATTAATTATTTTTGTTTAATGTAAAATAAATTATCTTTAGAGCTTAAGCGTATCATACTGTTGGTGAATATCTATAATGCATATAGTAATAGTTTAATTTTCTTGAAACGACATATTTGCTCGTTTATTTATTTACTCACTGTTATATTTAAAAGATATAAAAAAACATTTAGTATATTTACGTGTTACTCTTATTATTTTTTCATTAATTAAAAAAAAACATTTTATTGTTTTGTTGTTCTTCTTCATCAAAATATAAAAATATTATATATTTTTTCTCATATTTCTTAGTTTCTCAAGTTTTTGTATATGCGAAAAAATTTTAATAATAAAAAATTAGATGAAAAAAAATATTAAAAATTAATTAAAAAAAAAGTATTAAGAACTAGTTTCCTTTAACAGCGAAAAGCAAATTATTCAGTACAAGAATTTTAACTAATAGACACCTTGTTATTTTTAACTTATTTATATTTTCAATTCTCTAGGTGACTTTTTATGGATTTTATATATTGATTAATTATGCATATTATAATACTGTTTTGATTCACTTCAGAAGTCATAAATTTCTAGTTGCTTTAACAACCAAACTACAAACACAGAGAAAGAAGGCCAATGATTAGAGTTATCCATTGGCTGCATTTTTAATGCAATTGGTTAAGTTTGCTATGTAATGCTGGAGTATGAAGATTCCAGAGCGATTGATTTGAAAATTGAAAGTGAGAGCGAACAGTGAACTTTTAAGTTCAATTTGTGGGTACAAACTATACAAGGGATAAAACAAAAGATTAAATTTAAATGTATAAAGTGAGAAAAAGAGATTTTATTTATCTTTATTTGAATTAAAATATTTCATTTATCACCATTTTCTCACTTTAAAGAAACTAAATTTATAAAAATAGCATACAATAAAAAAGCAAGTTGTGAGATTTGACATCAATCTTTTTCGAACATGCAACTTCAAGAGAGAGATGGGTGTGTGGAAAAAGAGAGATATATAGAGGAAGAAACTAGTCCAAATACAACGAAGTTGGATGGCTTGAATTAATCATGTACCTATCTCTTGTGCTCTAGTTATATTTTCCCCTCTTGGGGGGGTCCCATACATTCTCCCTATAGTCTTTATTGTTTATGTGTTTCACACAATTGGTTTGATTCCTTAAAATAAATATCACGATTCATGATCTTATCTAAAATATGACACTGTTTGAACAAAACATTTCAGAGTTGTTCATGGAGAAAGATGGTCAAGGTAGATGGGAATGGAACAAAATTTAGACACAACATTCTAAATATTTTTAGTGCTATTTTTAATCAATTTTAAATGTAAAAATAATGATGAAATTAATTTATTTGCATGGTTTTAGTGTACAAATATCAAATTCTGACAAAATAAATTTTCAAAATATTTAATATCCAATAATCGGCTAATATTATGTGTGATATATTAAATTTAAGCAATTAAACATTATTGGGGTCATTACTTATCATATTCAGTTACATAAAGGAAATTTGCATGGTATCATGCGCATTTTATTTCCTTCTTCTTTCTCTTCCAGTGTTTTTTTCTACGTATTTTTCAAGATATTCATATTCTTTGTCCAAAACTATTTTCTAGATCCATAAACAGTGCCATATATATTAACTTCAGATATATCTGATTCAGTTATGATCCATTTTAGCTTGCAAGATATATTTGATTCCTTTTTCAATTATGGTTAGTTACAATTATTCCGTTTTTTTTAATATAATTTTTAAATAATAAATTTGGTTTTAGTCATGATTCCACTTCAATTAGTTGACTATTTAATGTAAAGTAATGTATATTATAATGTTAGATGTTTCTTCATAAGAGAAAGAGGGATGCCGGTGACAAGTAATGACAGACTCTTCATGTTATTAATGAGGACTGAGAGAGAAATTAGCTAACTGCATGATTGAAAATGATTTTTGCACAACATTGGAAGATAAATTTAGTTGCCTTATTTAATTTTAGATATATTTTTGAAATGCAAGTGTTAACAAAAATACAAAAAGTAAGTGAGGAGCAAAAAAGATTATACATGCTAATTTTAGTTGTTGAAATAATGAAACTGTTCCATGAATCAGTCAAGTGAAGAGACAATGAAATGCAAGAATAACTGTTATTATGAGTTGAGACAGAATAACAAATTAGCACGTTATCTTTATTTACTACTTTCCCTGATCTACAAACAATACAAAATGCTGAACCTGATGGGTTCTTGGAGCTCAGAACAAGTCTGGCCCACAATCAGCGACATGTCTACTACAACTTCTCAAAGTTAAACAACAAACTTTAAATTGGATATAAATTGCATGATCTCCAAAACTACATAAATTGGAGCATATCATGGTGCTTGTAGGATTGACTCCATCACCCAAACCCTCCAATTTAGTATTGTATCAGGTATTGCTATTCAGTTAAAGGTGCAAGAACCTGAAAAGTAGATAAAGTATGATAAATAACAAAGTGGGATATGTAATAAAATAATGTTATGAGCTTTTGAAGTGTATAAATTGTTTAGGTATTTAGGTAAACCATTGCATTAGTAAAAATTTTGAAGAGAAGAGTTACTAGAAGTAGTGAAATTTGTAATTAATATGTATTTTGTTGTAAACCAAAGAAACAACTTGGAAGTACTATTAAAGTGGCCTACCAGTTTTGCCACTAACCGCATCATCAATATTAGCTGTTCCATTCATGGGTCCATTATTATTATTGCTGGGTGCAATAATTGTTTGACTATGTTGCACTGCCTGGGAACCATATCTAAACACATTCATTGGCTGCAAGACAAAAACCAACGTGGTAATAAGCAAAATTAATTTGAAGGGTAAACTATGACATGGCAAGAAGGAATGAGGACTTTGGCAAGAAAAGAACATTAAAATTTAAGGTTCACTTGAAAGAAACTAATTACCTGGGAGGCACTTTGCATAAGATGATAACCCATGTAACGTGCATATTGCTCTGAAAGGTAAGGGTTTTGCATCAGATTTTGGTAACTAAAAGCACCCAAAACTGGATTTTGGCACATCAAAGTCTGGTTTGGTATCTGAGTCATAGACATGGATTGATCATTTGGGACTTTTGGTAATTGCATTGGATTGTGAATTGAAGGCAAAGAAGGTGCAGCCATTCCCATATTCATTTGTGACATATAATGCTGAATTCCTGGAAACATCACTGGGCTCATGCCAGCTCCCATCCACATTACCTGTAAGCAAGAACAAAATTTGTTACATATTACCCTTGTATGAGACATGGTCATACATATGTAAGATAAGACATTGTATGACAGTTTACCTGAAGCTGTAACTGAAGTGATTTCAAGTACTCTATTGCCTCTTCTAACATTGATGCTTTGTCTGTCTGCATGTACACAGCCCTCAGTTATTACCTCACTATGATAGAATCTTATGAAAAGGAGAATCATTAGAAACAAGAAAAGTGAGTATGGTCAGTAAAATACCACTTTTAACCCTATATCTTAGTGTGGATGCATGCATCTAAAAAAAATTAAGATATAGTACAAGTCAACCAGCATTACGATGACAAACCTTGTTACTGTTAGGTATGAGTTGCTGCAATGCCCTCATCTTCTCATTGATCCTATCTCTTCTCCTCTGCATTAGTAAACAATATTGGTATGAGCCAAGTTTCACACACACAACACAAGTTTCAAAATAAAGAAAAATGCCATGCCCTTACCCTTTCTGATAGATTATGCACTTCAGCTGCTCGGTTTCTTATGGAAGACCCTATCCGCTGAGATGCTTTGTTTCTATCACCTGATTTAAGTTCTGTGGCCTATTACACATATAAACACAACTCATCAGGCCAAAAGGAAAAACATAACAACCACGCATTTAATCATGAAGGTAAACTGGAAAGAGCCAAAGAGGAAGAGTTTCACCTCACTTTGTTCCTCTTGTGCTTCAACATCTGGGTCTTTTCTCTTTTGGCCTTGGTTTCTTGTTGATGATAGGGAACAAGTTCTTTCAATACTAGTACCACCTGAACCACCAGAAGATGAAGTCACAGTTGGTTCAATCTTCTCTGATTTTCCTTGATCACTCCTAGGAACTGTTCTTTGGATACAATCTCTGACAGCTTCAGGCTCATGAGATATAGTAGTAGCAGTAGTAGTAGTAGTTGCCCAAATTCCATTGCTTGATATCCTGCTTACATCTTGGTCCTGAGGGATGTGATTGCTGCCACAGTGACTTGAACCGATTGTCATCACTGAGTACTCTCTGGCCTCACTTTGTGACACATTAGAAGTAACATTTTCTCTAAACTGTGCACCACCACATGATGAAGAAACATAACGGGGTGCTGAAAAGTGAGAAAAATTTAGCACCTTTCTTGATCCTCCAAAGTCGTTGATTTTCTGAGATGAATCAGGAACATGAAACCTTGGATCAGGTATAGGATTCCCTCGGAATCCCTGAACATAGGAGGGTTTCATATTAGGTGGTCGTGAACTTGAAGTTGCATGGGGGGCACTAGAGGCAACAAATTTGTCAAACTTTGCTCCTTCCAATTGTCCAATTGGCTTGAAAGTCTCAACTTCACAGGATGGTAGTTCAGATGAAAGGTTTGAATAGAATTGTTGCTCCAATGGGTCCTCAAGTGGGTAGTGGATCCATGGGTATGTCTCATCTTGAGTCAAGTTACTCGAGTTCCCACATGTCCCACTAGTTAATGTTGATTGATCACTTTTCTGAACCTGTCTCAAGTTAGATGAATTCCCAACTGGTTTCCTATGTGTCTGGCTGTGCATAACTACCTGTCCATTTTGCCATAGGAGCTCTACAAATTCTTGGTCCAGCCTGTATTGACCAAATAGATAATTATTATAATCGAAGTAAAGTTAATTGGAACAGTATATTTCTGCTTTGACAAAGATAGATAATCGATAGATAACACACACCCTATGAGCTTCTTTTGGTTGGTGAGACAAGTATCACTCTCAAAATCCCAACCTGGAACATTGCTATTCATGGTTTACCAAACTGTTGTCTGTTTGAACAAAAGAGGAAAGAGAACTTTAGACTTGGAACAAACTTTACAAGCAGAGTAAAAAAATCTATATAGTTCAGCTGGATAGAGTAATCAAATAAGCATACAAAATTTTGAAATGAAAGAAAATAATAAAAAAGACGACCTTTGGAGTCATGTATGGAACTTGACATGCCAAGGTGGAGAAAAACCAATGAAATGGAACCACAACTTCATTTTGCCATTGTGAATTGTGTGAATAAATAAAGCAACGAATGTTCAAACTCCAAGAGACCCAGAAAGAAATGTTTATTATTTTCCTATGACAAAATGAAAGCACAAGCAAACAAGCACAGAAAAAGAACAAGCAATAATGAAAAATACCAAATTTTAAACCTAACAAAGTCGGAAATTTTAAGACAATCAGCTACACAGAAAACTGTACAAAATATAAACACAAGAATATTAAAACACACACAAAAACACAAACTCAAATACATCACTGTAAACCTTATTTAATATGATTAGTAAAATAAAAAATAAAAATGAACAAAAAGGATTCATTTTCAGGCAAGGAAATAGAAACCCAGTTTGTTTTCTTACAATTACAACAAATTAGCAGATCAATAAGGAGTAGAAAAAGAAGAACCCGACCTGAGTTAAGCCAAAAACAGGTTTCTTTTGGTTAAGCCAAAGACTATTTTTGTAACAGCTTGATTAGAAGGAAGTATAATACTAGCTAGATGCTAGAAAGTGAAGCTCCTTCTTTGGCCTTAAGAAGTTTGATGAAAGAGGGTGGAGCGTTTTTAACAGGAACAAGAACGAAAGTGACATGTCTTAGTGCAAAGAGTGAAGAGGGTAAATATCCATGAAAAAAATGGTGCTTGTGCTTGTCAACAGCGAGAAAAACATGGCTTAACATGTGGCATGGAATGAATGAATAAGGGACCAATTGACAACCAAAAAACGGGGTACGCAAATATTTTTGGCTCTTTAAAGGTTTAGGGTGTTCAACACTTCAACTAGGATTGCAAGGAAATCCAATTCTGCATGCACGCGCTCAGTGGTATCTGAAACTTCATTGTGTGTGATGACACGTGGCAGGGACAGTGTGTATATTATTGGGACTGATAAGGCTTAGCATTGTCTCAAAAAGAATATAAGAAATATGTGGTACTCAGTTCATGCTCATCTCCTAATCAACCTATGCAACTATCTATCAGCATTTTTACAAAATAGAAATTATAAAAATGAAGGATAATGGCATATTTCAAATTCCATTATATACAACTTTATTTTATATTGTTACGATATTCATTAAACTTACAATATATATGTGTTTTTCTTTTTTCTTTTTACTGCACTCGTTGAAAACTATTATTTTGAGACAAACTTGGGGTCCCAACTTAGAAGGAATGATGATAGCAAAGCTTTCCTAGCCGCACCAAAGGTATTGGAACTGCTTTGTTCAAACGCTCCAACTGTTACCAACTTATATCTGGAAATCAAATAACAATAATGCCGACATTGAATGCTATTAATATACTATCTTTCTTATTATTTATCTATCTAAAAAAATTATATTGTATATTACGAAATTTAATCATGTTAAACTTATCTCTTTATTAATTGGTTTTTTTATTATAGAATTATTTAAATAAATAAATACTTTTTATAAATAAAACACAATGATTAATATTGTTTTAAAATTGTATGTAAATAGATAAATGAAAAAAAGACGGTAATTACTAATTAATCCTTTGTGGATACATGCAAATCACTGCCTTAATCATTGGTATAAGATAGAAATAGCACCGATCTCCAAGTCTTGTCACCTTCAAATCAGAATCCCTCAACTCCACTTTGCAGTAAGCAGAACCTTCAAGAGGAAAATGACATTTTCACCCTTATTGAACGTTGTATATACCTTCTTGAGAGAAAAGAAAACGATCGAAAAAAGAAAGTAATAATAATAATATAAGAATCAAGGTATGCAAAGATCAAGATTGACCTTCAAACATTGTTCATGTTACTCACGACACTAAAACATGTATTGCGCGTATAGTAAAGGCGAGGGAAAGAAAATTAGACCATGACAAATTTAATAATATTATGTGAATACCATTAAATCAAAACACAAATTCAACAGAAGGGAAAGTTCATGAATCATGGAGCAAATTTAAACACAATTATATCCTATAATGTGGGAAACGTGAAGGTAAGCAGTAATAATATTTATAATTTCAGTAACAGTTACTGCTATGAAATGGAATATGAAGTTTAAAAAAAAAATTAGGTGAAAAATGTAAAAAATTAAAATATGAAATAGCCTGGAAAATTGGTAAACATTCCTGGTACAAATTATGTAGAGGTACACGTCTTTGGTGATTAACGTAAATAATAAATTAATATACTGTTAATTAATCATTAACATAGTCTGAAGGGATCTATGCACCGTTAATTAATCAAGTTTGTCCATGGTTATTTACTTTCCTTGTCCTTCATTTTGGACACTTTGATAACGTTTGTCCACTAAATTAATCAACAAGCCATTAATTAATCCATGGTCTTCTTGCTAAATCTATTATCTTCTGTATATGAAAAACTGTTCTAATTATTTAAGTTCCTTTCAGTTATTTGAGTTTTAATATAGATGGTAATTAATTAATCTGAAACTTCAGGTCGTCTTCTTTTTTTTTCAATAGGTGGGCTGGACTGTTATTGTGCATTTGGATATTGGATCAACTAGCTTGTTCAGCCCAAAGATGAGAAAGAAAATTGCAACATTATTCATTTTATTCGCGTATTATTTTAATTGACCAAATAAAAAAAGAATCATGTATCATTTTCTCTGCATTGATAATTCTCCCTTCCAGAATTTATGGTTTCTAAACAACTTAAAGCTGTTTTCTTCTAAGTTTTATTCGTCCGTTTATTACACATCTAAATAAAAGGTGAAAAACTATATTAATATATTTCCATATTTTCTTTATATCCTGTATTTGCATTGAAAAGATTGAAGAAAGCCTTTATTATTATTATTATTATTATTACACTTAAACTGTATAAGAATGCTCTATTATTACATTTCCTGTTGCTACAGCTGCAATTTGATTACTTAGCTATTTGGAGGTCGCGGATCATTTTACTTCTGCTTGAACAATACATAATTGTTTGTTTATATATCTTTTTCTGGAAGGGAGGCTTTATATAAAGCCAAATAATTCTATAATATCTCTTTTATTTTTTTCTCTCACCTTGACCTTTTCAAGCAATGTATAGCTTTTGATGTAATGTGCTGAGGAATAAACAAGAAAATATAAATTGACTAATATATATAGGTTTATGCAGAAAATTAAATAAAGCATATATGATTAATGAGGAATGAGGATACTCTCAAGATGATGTATTTCTACCAACAATAATATTTATACATTCATAAATTCCATTTCTATTTCTGCACTTATTGTTCTCTCTCTCTCTCTCTCTCTCTCTCTCATTTCATCACCAATTATATTTCTCATTTTCTCTTTGTATCTCCCTCCCTTCTCTCAAATGTACAAATACAATCATCAAATTTCTATTTCTACCTTGTTGATTGGATTGTCCTTTGATGTTGAAAGGTAAATGGGGATATGTGTGGTCTTCCCCCTCATTTGGAAATGACGGCTAAGCAATTGTCATAACCTTTGAGTAATTTTCTTTGCATCTATGCTTGATTCAACTTCCCCGAACCTTATTCTGCTATCCATACCAAAAAAGGAAAAGAAAAGAAAAAAAACTGAAGATACACACATTGCAAACTCTCATTCAGATAGATCTAGGTTGATCAAAGATTCAAAGGGGGCATTTATAATTGGGCATGAAAATTTATTAAAATGGAAAATGTTCTATGTACTGTTGGGTTGGGAGAGACACTTTTAAGTTTTTTCTTCATGTTTTAGAGTATAATTTTAGAATATATGTATATATAAAAAAGATTAAAAAAAAACACTTAATATCACATACATTGACAAAATTTAATAATTTAAATAATGAAACTGAAATAAAAATTTATTTCCATCTCACTCAATCAGATGATAGAGTGAAAGGCCAAAAAAGGTAGATACAATGAGTTCTCGAGAGTCAGAGAGGAACTAAACCTTAATTACTAATAAAACATACATATGTCACAAAAATAATGACTGCAAGAGCAAAACACTACAACCTATTCGAACATAAACTTCAGTAAACACAACAACAAAAGAAAGACTGTTACAGAAGCTTAAGCTGACTACTACATTTAAATACCCCCATCTCTTATTCTACAAATGCAGCATAAGCACACATATAACTCTTCATTCCTCGGTATCTCCTTCTCATCTACTCATGTATGGTGCCAGATTCTATGCTGCTGGTGCCACATCGATACCACTATCATCATCATCATCGTCATCACCCTCATTTGAGATGCAAAAGCTGTGGAATTTAGTTGCAGCCCAGCCATTGCCATTGAGAAACAAGGACACACTATATTTCTTGCAACTAAAGACCACCATTTTAGCACAGATGAAAGAATCCTATGAAATAAAGACTGCCTCGGTTGTGAACTACCTATGTTGACTGAATGAGGTCACGAGTCTTGACATTTATACACTTAGAAAATTGTATTAAAAATATATATAAAAGAAAAAGTAATATTATATGGGTCACCTTTAATTAATGCACCATAAGAAAATATATATAATAAGTTTTAATTAAAAATCATATAATATTAATATTAAACATTATAATTTTGAATAAATTTAATTATTTATTAACTTTTATTAGTCTAATAATACAAGTTTTAAAAAAAATTGAATATATTCGAGATTTTCTGAGAGATAAGTTTGCTTTCTTGCTTTCTCTTTCTCTAGTACCAACGGGAAACTTTTGGTTTTGTTTTGTTGTTAGAATGTAACGTTATTTATGATTGCAAAGGAGGGAATGGCTGATCTGGTGAAGCTTCTCACCATACATTTATCACAGATGGACAGTGAGGGCCCAAAACTCGAGCAAAACTCATGGCTTCTTGCTGCACAACGCATTCAACATGTGGACTTGAGAGCTGTACACACGCTTGACTTTCATTGTCACATGCACTTGGATGACCTGGATATGCTTAGAACACCTCGCAAGAATACAAATGGAAAGAAGAGAATGGTAGAAAGAAAAAAGAGAAAAAAAAATAGAATTATTATTAATAATGTGATAAAAATAAAATAAAATGATTATCAAACATTTAGATAAAATATTTGGAGTTGTTTTAAATTGTAAGTTTAAGTTCAGCTGTGTATTTATAATCTGGACTGTGTCCAGTGAAAATAATAAAATGTGAAAGAAAATATAGAATTTATAGGTGTATAAACATTATTCTTATTTTTAAATACAAGAGTGACTCTAGAAGGAGACATGTATTTACTTTTTTATTTACAATTCTAATTTATATACAATTCAATAATATAATTATTTATTTAATATCTTTTTATTTTATTAAATCACGTTATTTATTATATTTATTATTTTTCTTTTCTTCCTCCCTATTTCTTTCTAGGTAAGTTTAAGTTTCACTTTGATCGCATCTTCCGGTTGTATGGACTCCCATGATTTGCTCATTCAAAAAGCATACAATTTTATATTTAGAAATTAAAATGAATTTTTCATTAGACGTCCGTCCTTTCTATTGAGACAGCAATTGCCAAAGAAATATTATGTTAATTGTGGAGGCACCTAATAACAGTATGAGACATATAGGTGCAGGAATTTTATATATAAAATTAAAGATAACGAAATTATATATAATACACATCATAATAACTCAATTCAATTCTAATTATATATAATTGAATAATTGCTAAATGACTATCTGATGAGAACTCACGAATCATAAACTATACTGATGAGAACCCACGAATCATAAACTATTCTAATGAGAACCCATGAGTCATAAGCAATCTTTATAAGAATCCATGAGTCATAAGTAATTCTTGTTTTGAGTGAGTGTGTACTACTCTCTTATCTTATCCTACAAAAAAAGGCATGAATTGGTGCTTTAGAATGCAAGATTGAACTGGGGTCGGGTTACTATAATTGTTAGACTTTGCAGGAATTTTATATATAAAATTAAAGATAACACAATTATATATAATACATATCATAACAACTCAATTCAATTCCAACTATATATAATTGAATAATTGCGTTAAACGCGTACCTGATGAGAATTCACGATAATTGTAAAACCTTTCTACTTACCAGCATTCATGGAGAAACTAGTGATGATTGCCATGAATGCTGCCCTCGAGGACGTGTACAAGAAGGTCTTTGCCGATTCCTATCAACATGATGCACCTCTCAGTAGAGAGGGGCGTGAAAACGCCGTGGAGACTTTGATCGAAGGAATAGGTATCAATTGATAAACATTTTGATTGAGGAAGAGAATCCAGGATGAACACTTTTTTCGTTCGCTATGTGCTGACTGGATACTCGCGTGATCGATCGATGGACGGGGAATTGCATGAATGACGAGACTGGCCTAACCGAAAGTAAAGGCTCTTCCCTCTGATGGCGAATCTTGATTGACGAGTCATAAGCAATTCTGATGAGAACCCATGAGTCCTAAGCAATTCTTGTTTTGAGTGAGTGTAAGTTTAGCCATGAGAGTGGTACGGGTTCTCATCAGGATTGCTTATAACTCGTGGGTTCTCATCAGTTACACCGATGTATCGTACTCTCTCGACCAGGCCATCAAAAGAAAATACTGCGAAATCTTTCCGAAGTGAGAGAAGGAGGGAAGGCGCGCTACAACTAACATAACAGCCAGCTGAAAAACGCTAGCTAGCTAGGCTAGCGCGCAATGGCTTTCTCTGATAGGGGCTCGCTTCTTCAAGCTCCGCCCAACCTATACAAGGCGCTGCTCGCTTTCTCTCAGCCACCAGTGGCTTATGTAGTGGTCGGCATTCCTACGTGCTCCTCTTTGCCCCCTACTTAAGAATCCAAAGGTCACCTTTGGCTGTTGTCTTGACGCTGAAAGTTGCCGGGGTCTAGGTTTATGGATGGATTTAGTCAGCGAAAGTCCCTCAAACTCAATCAATATCAACAAGATGTCGTGACCGGTTAGGCTTGGTTGATTTTGTCAGAAAAGAAATTAGGTTTCGGGGGTGGGTTCAATTATATACCTCCGGTAGTTAGAATTGAATTGAGTTGTTATGATGTGTATTATATATAATTGTGTTATCTTTAATTTTATATATAAAATTCCTACAATTGGGTCAATTAATACTTAATTTGACACATCAACATATTGTTATTTATTTTTTTAAAAAAGTATAGTAATAAATTATTATTTTAATAATATTGCAAGTTAATCTGCCCTTTCAACGAGCCCACGTCTTGTTATAATATATGGAATAACCAAATGATACAGTTTTTTTTGTTTATTATTTTTTTAAGTTAATACATTTTTTTAAATAATTGCAAAAATCCCACATTTTATTTTGGTTTTAGTTTTACAGATAAGAAAAAATTAGTAAAAATTTGTTTTTTTCCATTTCTTTCGTCAAATAGTGAAAATAAAAACACTTAAAAATGACATAACACTTTTAAAAATATAAAAAAAATTATGGAAAACGAGGGGGAAAATATCAAGCAGCACCTAAAACTTTTAGGATTTTTTTATTTGTTATTTTTATTTATTTGTTTTACGTTCGACGCTGGATAATATCAAATAATGGGATACCATAAATTTTAAAGACCCCAACATAGAATATATATAAAAATAAAATAAAATTATTGAGTCCCAATCAACAGCATGGGCCAGAAATCTTTTGTTCACTAGTTACATCCTTCATCAGCCTTTCCCAGTTCCATAAGTAATGGAAGTTCAGAATCAAACCATTTACATAAGGATGAATCTATTCATACTTCTTCCCCTTGAGCTTTCCCTTGGGGATTTTGCTAAGCAAACCAGCATCCAGCTTCTGATAGTGATTTTGCATCTGATCAAGGACCTTGTACACAAAGTTGTCAACTTTATCCTCATACTTTTCATAGAGAACTGGGAGTGTATGTGCACCAACAAAACCTGAGGACATTACACAATAGAAGTTTTAGCAATAATGTATGATAAAGAATAAAACTAGAACGAAAATCATCATCGTGTGAACTTCGGGAAGAAATAGATCCCAGTATCCTACAAAAACAATGTACATGAAGATTGACTTATTTTAGTTTTCAAATAAGAACAGTTATTGAGGTGGCATATTATCAGAGAATATTTTTTGCATGTGCGTATTCTGTTATACCGTCCCTCACCCCAGCCACTGAACAAGTATTTAACATGTTTCAAATTGTTTACTATACTGAAAACTACACAGTTATGACGCAGCCAAATTACATGCTCTTTAAAGTTAATAGTAAGTTTTAAGCATCCCTATTGTCCATTGTACAAGCACAGCATTAGGTTGCCTTCACCGTCCAAGAAATGCTAATATAATACAATTTCCATAATTTCAATATATCATTTTTATTGAGAGCAAATATTGTAGGATTAGTTGAACTTTTGAATTATATTTTTCAAACTTTGTGCAACTTAATTAAAGCAAACAAATATTCTGATGAGCACGTTCTAATCTATCAATTGATGAAAATAAAGCAGTTCCCTCACCAATATACATAACAGTCAGAAAATTGCACCAGCTTCCAATCACAGCACCAGCCCATAAACTTGCTACAACCTGGTTGTGTTTTAACCATTATCACAAATTCCATAAAGAAAGTGCATTTTTTGGTTACGAAATATAAAATAAACATAATTTAGCTGCATACAGAAATGGTTAAAAACAAGTTATAAAACTGACGGCAAATTCACATTGATCATATATGTCCTATAATACGACTCTCCAAGTCAAGTAATACAACAAATCCACATTGACCCATTAAACTTGCAAGTTACAATCCTCGTTTTCCCGATACAATGTATATCGTACCTCCTACTGGGAGCAGTCATTTCTCTCTTCCTCACCTACCCACACCCTCCCTGGGTGCCAACTCTTTATTCTCATTGCACCGTAATGCTCACTTCTTTAGAAACATCAAAGGGATAAAATCAGGCATAAACACACAAATAATAGATTAATTATTGCCACAACAGACAGGTTAACAGCAAATGATTCTTACAAGTTACTATCACATAAGATTTAGTTGACTTGACAAGATCTGACAAATTCAAGGAACTTCTCTCTTCTGCATAGTATAGGTTTAAATATAACCTATCGTAGAAGAAATTCAATGAAAAAAAAACAGTAGTTGACAACTCCAATTACAAATCAATAACATGTAACAAACAAAAAATGTTGTAGCAAACAAAAATAAATGGAATTGATTGAAAACCAAGTATTGACACAAATACTGATGTCTGAAACTGAAGAATGGTTTGAACCTGGAAACTAAGCTTTAAGAATAAATTTGGACTATAAATAACAATTCCAAAGCAAGTGAACATAAGAGTAACCATACAAGAAGGAATTGTTTTAGGTTTCCTCCACAAGCAACATTTTGAAGAAACCTCAAACCACGGTTAACCTCAGCACCAACTGCAGTTGCAATATTCACAAAGATATCATCTGGGAGAAAGAAACGGGGAACTTTAGATGGCTTCCTGTTGCACCAGAGAACAAAGCATGCTTACTTAAAGCTGTAAAGTAGTATAACATATTAACATAAAGTCAGACATTGAAAGAAACGAAGTAAAGATGTTTGGATAACCTGCTAAACAAGCCGGAAGCATTTGTCCAAAGAAACTGTGCTAGCATGCCAAGAGCCAGAACAAAGAATAAAAGGGTTAGGAAATTATAATTAAGCCATTCAAAAAGCACCCATATAGCTGTTGTAGCCGTTAAAACGCTAGCCGAGATCTTCTTGTTCCTCCATAACAAGACATCAGCAGCTACATCATTCAAACGGGAGAGGGAAAAGTTTATAAGTCAAGGCCAATATGATGGATTTTACAGGAAATTTAATAGAGCTGCCATACATTTTCCACCCCCTAAAATATGGTGCACAGGTTTCTGGCGTCCAAACAATTTATTGAGTTGGGAGCTCACTGAGCTTGACTTCTCTTCTTCAAAGAATGATACAGATTTTTGCTTCTCAGCAATTGTTTCCACAAGGGTGTTCAAAAGATTTTCAGCTGTGATTTTCTCGGACATTGTTCCAGCACTTCTATAAGAACCAAAAAGAGAATCATAATGCATTGTATGAAATAGCTATTATGCCTAACGCCACAGCAGCATAGATAACCATTCATAGGAAAACCAACAAACATGAAATGAATGTAAAAGATTCAATGTACTTGAAGCCATTCCTAATCCTAGGCCTGAACATTGGATTGATTCGAGTTTTGAAGGGTATTTATAGAAATTTAGGATAAGTCAGGAGATGAGTATTGAAGGATAAGATAACAAAGGGTAAATATTTTATTTTTAAATTAAGAATATTATACAACAATTATAAAAATAAAAAATATTAATATGTTAAATTTATGTTACTTTTTTATTCATTTAAAAATATTAAATTAAAAAATATTTACTATAAATAAATAAAATATATACATACTCTTCCTTCTTTCTCCGTCAAAACTTAACTCTCAGACGTAACTTGAAAGGATTAGGTGGAAAGGGAACAGAAGTCAACATTGAGTCAGCGAGCAACACAAAAGATATTCTTCTAACGAGACTGTGAATGATTGTGATACATATCAAAGATTAAAACCTCCATTTACTTTAAAACTGATGCAAACACTGATACAAAACACAAATGAGCCAGGATAAAAAAATTTCTTCAAAACATATATACCCCATAAAATTGAGAAGCAGAATATAAGAAAAGTTACTGCAAGTAAAGTTATTCCACCCTGAATTCAGAAGCATAAAGGAAGCGCATTTGACGTACAATGAGATATGATCAACAAAGGAAGAAATTCAAACACGGGGAAATACCTAACTACAAAAATGTCCAGTGAATTGAAGAGGACTATGTAGAAAACGAAAATCAAAATTAAAAGCATGAAATAATTGCAATTGCAACAGCGAAAAAGAAAAGGAATGGTTTAACGTACAGACCAGAGGAAGGAGCAGAGAGAGAAGAGTAGAAGCGAACGACCACTGCAATGCAAATGCGCACACACAAAGAGAGGGAGAAAGAGAAAGAGATGCTTATACTTCAACTTGAGGGGAAAAGTTAACATAGAAAGTGTTTGAAAAGGGAAAATGTTTGGTAGATATATTTAAGACTTAGGAGGATACTATATATATTAAGAGAGAAGTAAAGTAATGTTATAATTTTTTAATGTTTTATAAAAATATTAAATAAAAATGTAGATGAGTTTAATGTTTTAAAAATAAAATATATTTACTTTATATTAATAATTGAGAGAATTTATTAGAGAATTTAATGAAAAAAATATTAGCTTTTTGATGAAATGATTTTTTATTTAGTATAATTGCTTCTCTCTCTTTTTTAATGAATGCAAAATATATGTTTGAATAAATAAATAGTGATAATTGAGCAACCACCTTTCTTTTGCATTCTTCTCAACAACAAAACAAAATACACGTGAACCTCCACGTCATCTTCCCGTTTCGGAGTCCGAGCCACAGCGTAAACAACAATCAATTATTATAACTCTAATATAATAAAAATTTGTTACTTTATAATTTAATTTAAGCATTAGAAGTAACAAATTTTTGTTATATTAAATTTATAAATATATAATAAATTTTTTAAATTATTTTTTTAAACTCATCTTTAAAATTTGATATTAACATTTTTTTTAGTTTTATGGTTTGAAATTATTTTTTTCCGGTAATAATGGGTGAGGTGTTTTTTTTTGGTGAAAGAAGACTTGAGAGCCCAAAAGCGAAAGGTAAAGCCCATGAAATTATAATTGAAGGGTATTTTAGAGACAACAAATTTGTCTAAAATATGCTTTGCATTTTGGGTAAATAATCCCAATCCAAATGTGAGGAAAAAGATCTCAAGATTTAATGCTTTTGGACGGTTCTCATCCATGAATTGAAGCCAACTCCATGTAAGATGTAACCAATCTCAAACCAACAGGAATTGAAGTTCACTAGATATCATCAATTATTAATTGTTAATTTAATTTATAAGTGAAGTTATTTAAAAACTTAAAATAAATTTCTAAAAATTAATATTTTTTGTGTTTATTTTTTTAATTTAATATAATTTTTTAATGATTAACAATATTTTAAAATATAAATTAATAATTCTTTGGGACCTTGAAAAGTGAGGCTTTGGAATTAGGTGCATTGAAGGGGCATTTTTAAGTTCAAGTAAAGCTTAGATATTTCACTATAAATAATAAGTATTCTATTTTATCATATAAATAAATTAAAATAATTAAACTAAAGTAAATAAAAAACAATTGAGTTTCAATTCAAATCTATCATCTTTATGTTTATTATTTCAATATGAAGTGTTAACATTTTAAAAAATAGATTTAAATTGAGACCAACTGTACTTGAAATAAATAAAAATAAAATAAAATTAGGTTTCTAATGGAAAAAATTCATGTGATATAAAAGAATAATAACTCATAAGCAAACAGCTTAGAAGTGTATATTATGAACAGAATCATCAATTACATGAATACACGTTTTAAGAAAAAATATTAAAAAAACTTGGAACCATTATGTATACACAATATCAAGTCATGGTAATGTCTTGAAGCATAACAAGGCCCCATTTTCCTAAGTGGCTACGGGTCGAAGAAAATGAAAATATGTGACATGACGTGGCACCAATCAGAGGCTCAACAACCTTATCCCACATCAAAAATCTAATCCAAACTTCCCAATCATCCATTTCCAAATCCAATATCCAAAACCAACCACACTCTTTCACACCCCAACATCTAAACTAAACTCCAAGTCCACAAGTTCCATACCATAGTCTAATTTCACATAGCAAACAAGGAGAGTTTGTGTGTGTGAGAGAGTGCACAATGGCTTCTACTCAATGTTTCTTGCATCACCATGCCTTTACCACCCCTACCAGAACCCCTTCTCAACGCATAATGGTTAACACCAAGCCAAACCTCATAGTTTGCAAGGCCCAGAAGCAGACACCTCAAGAGGATGATGCTAGCTTAGTCTCTCGCCGGTTAGCTCTCACTGTGCTCATTGGTGCTGCTGCTGTTGGCTCCAAGGTCTCTCCTGCAGATGCAGCCTATGGAGAAGCTGGTATTTACTTACTTTATATCTTTTTATTATGATCAATTTATATTTATATAGCTAACATCTATGTGGACAGTAAAGTTTATACTATACTTAAATGATGATAGCAGCTTATAGTCTTTGGCTTAGAAGTTAAATACCCATTTGCATAAATGTCCACTTTTTGAAAAGAATAAGATCATACTATGCTCTAGGAAACCATGCTACCTTTGGTGCCATGAGCACCCATGGAGCACCCCAAATGGCTGCAATTGCTTTGTTTTGAACTGAAATTCTATTTGTAGTAACGAAATTGTATAATCTACTTCTGATTTAGTGGTTTCTGTGAATTGTCCACTCTTTACTTGTTAGACTTTAAGATGAAACAAATTTAGTGATCATAGGATAGAATTTAAATGTAGTAAAATAAATTTAGTTTAACTTAATCTTTAATATTGTAAAATAAATTTATGTAGACCCCATCATATGCTTAGGCTATTTGATTATAATTGAAAGAATGGTGTTGGCAAAGATTAGATTCTTAAATTAACCATTTGGTTATAAAGTCTGTAATACCATGTGATTGTCAAGGATCACGACCTTAACCGAAAAGTTGAAGTTGTTGGGTGGGGGCCAAGTGAATTTGATTCATCTAATAATGGGAACGAAATGATTTATTTGAGCAATTTGATTGTTTTGATTGCAGCCAATGTATTTGGAAAGCCGAAAGCAAACACAGATTTCCAGTCATACGATGGAAATGGATTCAAACTATCGATTCCCGCAAAGTGGAACCCAAGCAAAGAGGTTGAGTACATAGGTCAGGTTCTTAGATATGAGGATAACTTTGATTCAACCACCAATGTTGTTGTCACGGTGACTCCAACTGATAAGAAGTCCATCACTGACTATGGTTCACCCGAAGAGTTCCTCTCTAAGGTAAACTTGTTCTAAACTAGTACTTTTGATTATGTTCTAACAAATAGACCCATTAATGTATTATGTTTCAAGTTCCTACCATTCAAAATGTTGATGGAGTATACTTCCACTTTGGTCCTTGAGATTTTAAATATCATTCCCTTCAGTTTTCAACTTCATAAAACTTTCCCTTAAAAATATTGTAAAACTAGTAATTTTAGTCTTTAACAATGTCCGTGAAAAAATGCATAAAAAAAATAAAGGACTCAAATGAATGAAATATTGCAACATTTTGCAATGTCCAGGTTAAGGTACAATCTCAAAAACTAAAATAGAGGTTTATTTGATATTAATGGCACCAGTTGCTACTCGGTGGCTGAAATTCAAAATCCTGATTGCAGGTTGATTATTTACTAGGAAAACAAGCCTTCTTTGGCGAAACTCAAGCTGAGGTAAGTGACTAAGGATGCATTTGATGAGAACACTGCTTAATTATTTGTTAGATAAATTTTTTATACACTAATAAGTTTGTTCATAATTTTTTTAAAATAAATTGAAAAGTACTTATTCTAATAAACTATAAAAAGAATTATTGAAATAAACTGGAACTTATGATATTTTCATAAGCTTTTCCTAGCTAAGTGTGGACATGAATTGGTCAGGGGGGTTTCGATCCAAATGCGGTGGCCGTAGCAAACATCTTGGAGAGTTCAAAAACAAATATTGATGGGAAGGAGTACTATGTTTTGTCTGTGTTGACAAGGACTGCTGATGGAGATGAAGGTGGAAAGCACCAACTAATAAGAGCAACGGTAAAAGATGGAAAACTATACATATGCAAGGCTCAAGCTGGTGACAAGAGGTGGTTTAAGGGAGCAAGAAGATTTGTGGAGAATGCAGCAAGTTCTTTCAGTGTTGCTTAAGAACTTTTAATAGCGGTTTATGCTCTGTATGTGTAAATCAACTTCCAAGTGCCATGTATTTTGTCCACGAGTTTCATTATTTCAAGGACTTGGTTGGATTTTAATTCAGTGTCTGAATACTTAATATTCGTGGCGTTGTAAAGACAGCCACCCTTTTATTTCTCTCTCTCTCTCTCTCTCTCTAAGCATTTTTAATTATCTTCATTATGATGCCACGGGTCATTTATAGAGTTTAACAACAACAGTTATCTCAAGAAAAGTTAGTTTAAAACGTAATTAATATAATACAATCAAAGGAGAAACACACAGGGATTTTCGGATTGGTACAACCTTAGACATTGTATAGGACAAGACCGTAATTGATGATTAATTAATTTTTCGGCAGAATTGACATCTAATTTGTACTATTTTTCCTATAAAGTTGGAATCCATTCTTCTAACCACCCTTCTCAATTGGGAACAAACATTTCAATTATTTTCAGTTATACAAGGAGGAGCAAGATTTTGAATATATTTTTAAATAATTAAATACTAAATTTTAATTAAAAATTATCATTAAGAATATAAGAAAATTCATGTTTGAAATGTTTGTCACTGAATTTAATAAAATTAATTTTTTGAACTTCTTGATATCCCGTGAAATTCTTGTGATTATGTGAACAATTTCATTATTTGAACTACTAGAAACTGACATCTGATGTAAGATTGTGTACCGTAATGTTTATCTTTTCTAAAAATATATTTGTTTTGAAGAAAAAAGAGCATTAATGCTATAGAAAAGGGATGAAGTTTCGTATGAGAAGAGAAGTAAGAAGGCAAAGGCGTGTTGGTTTAAGAAAGAAGGAAGGTATATACCGAACCAAAAGAAACTGTGAAGGGTGGGGATTGTCATTTCACGAAAGATAGAGGAAGAAAGAATAGAAAGCTTTAAAAGAGAAAAGACGAGGAAAATAAAAAAGGAGAAATCCAGTGGAATAATAAATAATTTATGAATAACATAAATATTCACAATTATAATTATATTATTTATTTATTACACATATATATATCATTCGAGTCTATGCATTTGGAGAAAAGGCGAAGGTTTGGGATTTTGTTGAGCGTGTGTGGTTTTGGTAACTGAAGAGAAAGAGGTTGTGAAGAAGGAGGAGGAGGAGGAATCGACGGTGTTCAATACACGATCGCACCTCAAACTTTGGTTCCGATCGTTTATTTGCTTGTTCGGTAAGTCGGTGGATCATCACCATCTTTATCTTCTTCTCAAGTTGTTGGATCTGTGACTTCTGATACCGATTCTTCTATCTTATACTTTTTCTGTTATTTTTCCGATTTTCTCGATTTTGCTCTGTTTATTTCACAGGAAAATGTATATTATTTGTTTATTTATTTATCTGGCAATTTTTTAGTTCGGCTTCGTTTTTGTGATGGTGATTTTTGGATTTCAGATAGTCTCTGTTAGACTTAAGCTAGGCATCACGCAATCAAATTTGTTTCGGTTATTCGTTAGAAACATTGTGCTTTCGAGTAACACTGCTTGGATTCTTGCATTTTTGTTATTCTTGTTGTTTTTGGATTGTGCTCGTTTGTAGTTTCAATATGAGGAACTTGTATGGTATACTTACTTTTGCTGTTGGTGTTTTCTGTGCAGACATTTTGTTTTCATTGCTGTTTTCAGAGGCATTTTCTTAGCTATATGCTTGTTTGTATTGTTTTCTCACTGCTGAAATTATATATGGGCTGAGGTGCACTTTTCATGGGAGGTGTGGAGGATGAAGAACCAGCTTTGAAACGAATGAAATTAACCTCTAAAGGATTAGTTGGCTTGTCTAACGGTTCTTCTTCTGTGGAGCTTGTTGGAGGCTTGTCAGGTGAATTGATGGCTCGGCCCCTACCGTCCGAAGGGGACGAACAAGTTGTTGGTTCCAAAGGGGTTATAAAGAGAGAGGAATTTGTCAGGATAATTGCAAGGGCATTATACTCTCTTGGTTACAGAAACAGTGGAGCATATTTGGAGGAGGAGTCTGGAATATCTTTACACTCACCTGGGGTGAATCTGTTTATGCAGCAAATACTTGATGGAAATTGGGATGACAGTGTAGTCACATTGCATAAAATTGGTCTGGCCGATGAAAGCATTGTCACATCAGCCTCATTTTTAATATTGGAGCAGAAATTCTTTGAACTTCTTAATGGGGAAAAGGTCATGGAAGCATTGAAGACCTTGAGGACAGAGATTGCTCCACTTTGCGTTAATAATAGTAGAATTCGAGAACTTTCTTCCTGCATAGTCTCACCATCTCCTAGGAGAGATATTGTAAAGGTGAGGTCTCGATCAAAGCTTCTGGAGGAATTGCAGAAACTGATTCCCCCAACAGTAATGATACCTGAAAAGAGGTTGGAGCATCTAGTTGAACAAGCCCTTGTCTTGCAACGAGAGGCATGCCCATTTCACAATTCAATGGATAAGATGTCATTATATTCAGATCATCACTGTGGAAAAGATCAGATACCTTCTCGAACATTACAGGTTAGAAAGTAATATGTCTAGTATATCTTGTTGACTGTTAATTAGTAGTGGTAGCATCATCCTCTTTCTGTTTGCCTGTTGCAGATTAGAACTCCATCTGTTTGCTTTTCTTTCGCCTTTACTTTTGTTTAGAAAATATCTTGTGCGCAGAGGCCACTGTATAGTTTATTTTATCACTGTCTTCATGTTTGTCTTTTCTTGATAAATTTGGTGATCTTTCCTGATTATTAAGTACTGTTGTGATGTACCAGATTTGTGAATACTAAACTGTGGCATCTTGAAAATGGATGTGATTATTGTTGAAGTCCTGTGAATTTTCTTTTAATCTTTGTGTAAGAGGAATGTTAATGATTAGAACGATTTGACCACACCAATTAACAAAATGTTGGTGATGCCAATTATCGTAGGTTTTGAAAGACTTAGCGAACACATGCTAGTTTGTCATTTGAGTTAACAAAAATGGTAGTGATTAGGCAAAATCCTTTCTTGGATGTCATGGTAGACTATGCGCATCTATTTGGAATTGTGACAAATCGTTTGCATCTATTTTGCTTTTTCCAAATCTCAATTCTTGAGGCAACTTATGCCTTGCTATTTTGCTTTTGCACTTGACCTGGCAATAGTCCTGCTTCATACTCTTTGAAAGTACTAAGTTTCGTTCAATTAGAAGAACAATAACCTTAAAGTAGATACACAGCTTGTAGGAGCTTCTTGACCACACATATATTGTAAGAGATATCCGGTCAAGCTATTGTTTCTATGGGTGCCAGAAGCGCTATCTCTACCTTGAATGACTTCACCACTTTTTACTTATTAAACATTTCCTGTCTTGCAAAATGAGATTTATGTATCATTAATTGGATTCAAGGCTATAGGTTTAAATTTAATATTTGTCATCTGATTTCTTTCAAAAACCAACCCCAAAAGCCTGGGAGGAGAAAAGAGAGAAGGTATAGAATCTGTCTTCTGGTTCAATCCTTTTGCTATTTATTTACAACAACAATTTCACCCTTACTTTCTATAGCATGAGTGGTATCTCTTTTCTTATGTTATTTTCTTTTCTTACTAATGTTTCTACAGATATTAGAAGCACATGACGATGAAGTTTGGTTTGTACAATTTTCACACAATGGGAAATATCTAGCTTCGGCATCAAATGATCGAACTGCAATAATTTGGGAGGTAATATTTGATATTGGTCTGCGAATTTCCGTTTTTTCTTTCATTTCTCTTACTTCGGTATCTTTTTAATTTGCTTAAAAATGTGTTTTCATTGCTTGAGTTTTGATTTTGCTATCAACTATCACCCTGCAAATCCAAATCTCATTTGTGATGTTTTCCTTCAGATCAGACACATGCCCTCGTTGTTCAATTTACAAAATTGCATGCGACACACAAATAAAATATGGCTTCATGCTATGGAATTAGGTTTCAGATTTTATTTTATTTTTTATAGGTTGGCATAAATGGTGGACTGTCTGTTAAGCATAAATTATCTGGTCACCAGAAACCTGTTTCTTCTGTTTCATGGAGTCCTAATGATCAAGAGCTCCTCACGTGTGGAGTGGAGGAGGCAATTAGACGTTGGGATGTCTCTAGTGGCAAGTGCCTCCAGATTTATGAAAAAGCCAGTGCTGGCCTAGTTTCCTGTACATGGTTTCCATGTGAAAAATATATACTTTCCGGCTTAAGTGACAAGAGCATTTGCATGTGGGAATTAGATGGTAAAGAAGTCGAGTCTTGGAAAGGACAAAAAACCCTTAAAATTTCTGATTTGGAAATAACGGGTGATGGTGAAGAGATTCTAAGTATTTGTAAAGCCAATGCGGTACTGTTGTTCAATAGAGAAACAAAGGAAGAGAGATTTATTGAAGAGTATCAAACAATTACCTCTTTTTCTTTATCAGAGGATAACAAATTCTTGTTGGTTAATCTTTTGAACCAAGAAATACATCTTTGGAACATAAAAGGTGATCCTAAGCTTGTTGGCAAGTACACAGGTCATCGACGTGCCCGGTTTATTATCAGGTCTTGCTTTGGTGGCCTTGACCAAGCTTTTATTGCTAGTGGAAGTGAGGATTCACAGGTATGGATATTTTATTGTTGAGCAGAATGGAAATTTTTTTTTTTTTAAGTATTAATTATTTACAAATTGAAAGTCTTTTGGAGCTTGTTTGTTTCTGTTGATACCATCAAGCAAACAAATGTTTTTAAATCCGATTGTTTTATTGTAAGACATTGAGTGCTTGTTTGGAATAACTTGAATTCTAGAAAATAATTGCATGTTTTCCAAAAGGTCTAAAGAAACTGACAAAATTAAGCTGGACCGAACCTGCACTCAATGCAAGCCATGAAATGGTGCTTTGTGGTTTGATTGATATATTGAACGTCTTTATTATTATGTTCAGTTCTCATGGGCTTCTATAAGGTTTATTCTATAGCTTATCTTGGTAAAGCTAGGAGCATCTTGATTGATAATTCACAATTCTGCTCGATATGTTCTGTAGTTAAATCAGCTGGTTTTCCCTTTTAGTTGTCTATTATTGGCCTTCAGTTTGTCATCTTCAGATAATGCCAAAGAAAATCAATATTTACGTGTTTCTAGTTGTGACATTTAGTAGATTTCCTATGAGGAATCTAGATACAAGATGTATCTTAGATTGATAGAAGAATTTAGCAGCCGCTAAGCTTCTTTGATTTGATTGTGAAACAGTTCCATACAGCAATCTGTAATGTTATTGGTGCTATTTTCCCAGCTTATGATCGTCAATTCTATTGGATATATTTGGAGAACTATTAAACTTGAGTTGGGTCATGGTCCATCTTTGTAGGTTTACATATGGCACAGAAGCTCAGGAGAGCTAATAGAGACATTACCTGGTCATTCTGGAGCTGTTAATTGTGTGAGCTGGAATCCAGCCAACCCCCACATGTTAGCCTCAGCTAGTGATGACCGGACAATCCGGATATGGGGCCTAAATTGTCTGAACAAGAAGTACCAAAAAGCGCACAGCAATGGCATCCATTACTGCAATGGAGGAACTTAGATCACAAACTCATTCCAATTGATTTCTCATTTTGTTATCATTGCAATTGTGTAAATACCATTACTATCACCACAAGTGGACATTCATATCAAACATGCACGTGACTTTTCTTAAATCTCAAAATAAATTCTTGTTCCATTTACGCGCTTTTTTTTTTTCTTTTCATTTTCTTTGTTTTCGGGGTGGGGGGTGTTATCTAAAAGGATGTTATTTGTGGTACAAATATTCTAATTGAACTACATTCATGAACCTAATTTTTGTAGTCTTACTATATTTGCCAAATTCTCTTTTCAAGCGTAGCATAACTTCTTTGTTTGTGGTGATCTTAGTTTCTTTACTTATTACGCATATCTTTCTTATTAGTGACCAACGGTTACACGCCAGAGAAAAAATAGTTTTTCATGCTTAAAATATATTATTGTTCTTATGTTTGACTTTCATGTATCTTGTATTTTCTTTCTTTTAATACTATTTTCAACCTAGCATATTCACTCTTCCTCTTTCTACTTCCAATCTTGCACTTCTTACGAGTGAAAACACACATTAATCTTGACCAATTCAACGTTATTGCTCACGTCATCCAAGCTAACATACCTTGGATGTTGAATTGAGAGAGACGGCATGCATTTTTTTTTTTTCTCAATCTGCATTTGAGATCTTTGTAGTCATACAATTTTAAATTTGGAATTTGAGAATAAGAAAAATAAGGTGCGTAGATATACCGTCATTGTTCACGTATTATATCAGCAATGAATGTCATATAAATGAATAACACAGAAAATTATAAATTATTAACAGGGACAAAATAAAAACCAAAAATATTTTTTAAGAATTTATTTGAGAAAAAATAAAAAAAATGAGTGATTAAATAAAAAAAATTGTATATTTTTAGAAGATTAAAGTTTTATTTAAGTCATTTTCTTAATATTAGGAAGGGAGACAAAAGTTAGAGGAGAGTGATTTTAGTCTCTTGATTTATTTTTCACTCCTTGTGCCATGTTTTCAATGTTTTAGTTAGAAAAGATAAAAATCTAAAGTTAAAACTACCATTCTGTTGTTTGGATCATCTTAAGCAACAAGCTAAAAAGGTTTATAGTTAGTCTCTAAAATATCTATCTAACTTAACATTGTATAAGTAACGGAGTTATGTGAGTTGTCTTAGTATATTAACTATTTTTTTTTTAGCTAAATTTTTTAATAATAATAAAAAAAATAAAAAACCAAGAAACAATGAAGTGGGTGATGAATTGGATGGATACAGATGCTCTTCTGTTTTGAAGTGAATTAGACAGTTCACTTAAATAAAATTTTGTATTTTTACTTATACAAATTTTTTTGTCTTAAGTAAAAATGTAAAATTAATTGACTAAACGTCTATATTATAGAAAATCCATATCATAGAAGAAGAATGATACATTTGTAATTATAACTTGTAAAGCATCAGTCAATTAAGGTGAATAATGGATCATTTAATGATCTTTACATTGACATTTATGATGTGAGAGATCCTAATCATTAAAATAATTTTTTATTTAAAAATAATAAATATAAATAAATGATTAAGATTATTATTGGATTTACGCAAGAATAATTTTAAATAGATTACAAAACAGTTTTATGCTTAAATATTTAATCAATGATTTTATAATAAAAATTTTAACGCACAAATTATATATGTGAAAATATTGACGTAAAACATTATAAAAAATAAAATAAAATTTAATACTTAAAATTAAATAAAGATATATTGACACATAAATCAATGAGCTTATTTTATTACTTTAAAATATATTTATGATATTTTTTTTATGATTATTGGTTTGAATTAAAGTTATTGCATTGTGTACCGTGAATTTCTACCATAATAACTTTGTTGAAACTATTTATGAATAGTTAAAATAATTAGAAATTTTGTCATGAAAAATTTGATATCAAATTAAATATTTATGATTTAAAAGTATACATGTTCATAGAATTTTACTTTCTTAAAAAATTTACTCAACTTAATTTAAGTAAGTGAAAATTTAAACGACTCAAAAATTTTGAAAATCTCATATCATAGAAGAACTAAACGTTGTTAAACAATAATGAAACAAATACATTCATCTGATGTAATTATTAGGGTCATGCCAAAAAAATGATTGAGCAAACAGGGATTAAACCTTTAGGAAAAAAAAAAAGTTTCAAGTTTTGTGTATTTTGAAAACAAAATCCTCAATACATTAAGAATATACGAAATAAAAAAGGAATATACTTGCAAGTTTTCATAGATGTATCACGTATGTAGTAGTATTCACTGTATTACATGTTTTTTTTTTAATTTGTAAAAAAAAAGTATAAATTTAAAATTTTGAGAAAGAAGAGAAAACATTAAAAATATTAACGGATAATCATCAATGTTAAAAAATAATTTAAAACTTTCATAATATTATTGATTAAATTGAATTTTAAACGTCTGAATTGTTTATTTCTAATTTCTAATAAAATAGTTGAAAACAAGGCATTACCCAAACGAGAAAACAAAAACAGAGAGAAGAAAAGGCGGAAAAAAGAAGTAAATAGGTTATATTTTCATTTTGAGGAGAAAAAATTGAAATGCAAAACATTAAACATAACATCAACAACAACACGAACACGAACACAAACCACGAACATAAACACAACACAAATAGAGTAGCCGCTGCGCTTACAACAACTTCCCCACTTTGAGCTTCGGATTCATTCATTTCAAAATTCAAACGATGACAAAGAAAAGAGAGAACAAGGGAGAACCACTTCACCGTCAAAATCTCAAAGTTGATGAAGTCACCAGGATTCGCATTTCCCAGATTTTAGAACAGTTTCGAGCTTCCAAAGATGAAGGTCACCCTCTAACATTCAATGCTTTCTTCATTTTTAAGCTCTTTCACCGTTTTACGTAGCAAAAATACGACATGGGTTGCATTTGTTTCTCGAAGAAAAACCGTTCTCGTTGTTCGTTTCTCTTTTCTGAATTGGGTGTTTCGTTTTCGTTGGATATTTGCATTTAGGGTGTTTGTTCTTTTGCTAAAAGTTTGAATATTTTTTTGGCTAGTTCGTGACCCAGTGAAAATATGTCTTGTAAGGATGATGATTGCAAAAACATATCCGTTCATGAAATCTGGGCTTTTTCTTTTCTCTCTGCAGTGTACAAGTTTGATGCTAGTTTGTCCAACCAAGAGCGTGCTTTGGTCCATCAATTATCCCTCAAAATGGGGTTTAGATCTAAAAGTTCTGGGTGAGTGCTTGGGGAAGCATGTTTAAAATTGCACTTTTAATTCTGTAAGAATTATGGTCACAGTTCTTAAATGGAATAGTTGCTAACGGAATGTGCTCGATTCGGTTTTTACATGTTGTGTTATTGATATTGAACCTGCGTTTGTGTAGGCTTGGGAAGGATAGGAGAGTGTCTGTTCAAAAAATCAAAAAGAAGGTTGACACCAATAATGGGTTTGAGAGGCTTCCTCAATTCACATTTTCTGAGGAGTCAAAGTGGGTACTAGGCGATTTATTTTCTCATTATCCACCTGGTGATGGAAACTTGTGGGAGATAATTGGAGAAAATAGTGACACTATTGAGAAAACAAAACAAAAGAAGGATGATATGTTTGGCAGGCCCTCTATGACTAAAGCTGAAATTGCTAGGAAATTGGAAGCCCTTGCCTCTAGAATGAACAGTGTCTCTAACTTGAGACAGGTCCATTTCTTTCCCTCCCCTTTCGATTTTAGTGATCTATATATATTAATTCTATAATTGTTGGCTAGGAAATAAGGGAACTGAATATTATTTCACTAATTTGTACAAAGAATAAATTAATATGTCCCATATATAAGAAACTAGAGAAATTAACCTTGCTACACAACACTCCCCTTCAACCGTGTGAATAGATACCTATCATTCCCCCAACCTTTCACTCTACCGTGTAAAATTAGGTAGTGTGCCATGCTGATGGCTGATCTGTTACTAAACAGCTTCATAGAGAAAGTAGTTGTTAGCAACCCAAATGGGACTAGTTCGAGGTTGAATGGCATCTAGGAAGGCAGTGCTGCCAGTGCATGGTGCTCATGCACCAGAGCGTGAAGTTTGAACTGCACCTGCTATAAACATGTGCGTGTGTGTGTGTGTGTGTGAAGCTAGAAAGGAGTGGTCTCTAGGGATAGGCTGAATAGAGAGTCACTCCTCCTGGTGGGGTTGCTAGTCAAATCTGCGGCAGTTGACAGAGGTGGATGATGGCTGATGGTGGTTTGCACTTTTGAAATCAGGTTTAAGCACAATGAAGGTTCTGGAGATAGCCAAGGGCTTAGAAGGCCATAATTAAGGCAGCTAGGTTTTTGATGTGGAAGCAGTCTCCCTTATAACTAGCAGGTTTGATAACAAATTGGAAGTAAGGGAACTGAATATAATTTCACTAGTAATCAACTGGTACAGCTGATGTTCACAATGTATCTACATATATAGATAAATCCTAATATTTTGTACTTAAGGAACTGCAGGGAATAAAATCTGTACAATCAAATCTGTCCTAATTATAGGAAATTAGAGAAACTAATCTGTACAAAGATTAAAAGCAAATCATTTGTTATTCTTGCTATGCAACAGGATGTTGTATTGTTATTATTCCTCTTCTTCTGTATGTGTAGCATTTGTAAAAGAATAGTCTTGTAATCTTGTTGAATCATTTATCTGATCTTCGTTCAAGCAGATCATTGAAGACAGATCTAAGCTTCCAATTGCATCTTTCAAGGATGTTATTACATCAACCGTTGAATCTCACCAGGTTAATTTAAAATTTTGCTTTCTAAAATTGTCATTGGACTTGCATGATTGCATCTACTTGATAGTTTGGTTACAGATTGCACCATATTTAAGCTTATTTGATATCACATTGACATGCTAAATATATCAAACAACATAGTTGAGTAAGTTTTTTGTTTTTAACGCACTTGAACATGACAACTAAATTGAATTTGAAGATTAGATTTTGCATTTGTTTTGGTCTTAATTCCTTTCATGTGTTTCAAAGCAGGTAGTTCTCATATCTGGTGAGACTGGTTGTGGAAAGACTACGCAGGTTACCAATTCTTTGCTTTGTCTTTATTATGGTACAGCTACATTTACATATATTTTTTTGCAACTGTTTCAAGATGATCATCTTTCTGGCCATATGTTGATGTTTTTATAATTGGTCCATTTAGTATATTGTGCTTTTTTCTATTTAATTTTTGATAAATGTAATTGCTCTTTTTGTCCTCAATTTAAAATAATTGGTTCAAGCTTTGATAATTGTGGAATGCTTTGTGATTTTTGGTTACATTCATCAGTAAGTACTTCCATCAGTGTATATGGACTAAGGTCTTTCAATAATCTTCCTATTCAATGTAAAACATTTATCTTTATCTTGTTTTGTTGTTCTGTTTAACTTAATATTAAACATGATTCAGGTTCCTCAATTTATTTTGGATCATGTGTGGGGTAAGGGAGAGGTTTGTAAAATAGTATGTACTCAGCCTCGGCGTATCTCTGCAACTTCAGGTGTGCAACTCTTTCAGACTTAATTTTTTATATTCCTTTTCTAGTCTTAATTGAAATGTGTTTCCTTCTGCTGTATCTATGTCTAGTTTCCGAGAGAATTGCCACTGAGAGAGGAGAGACAATTGGAGAAAATGTTGGATTTAAGGTAATTTTATTTATGTTTCTTTGGTGTAGTGATGGTACTATGATCCTTTATTTGGATTTATTTCACATAGAAATATTTGTTTGAACATTGCTATCATAAACAGACCATTTTTTTGCATTCATGAATTGTGAGTTACACACTCACAATGCACTTTTTTTTTTTAAATATAAATCGACGGTGAGTAGGAAACCTGTTAGATGTACAAAGACATATGATTTTTATCCCTGTTGTTGGTTCAATCTACAACCCATATCATTTTCTTTCTTTCATAGAAATATGATTTTTTGCCCTTCAACATTCAATATCCTATGTTGATTATGCTAGTCCCTTTTGAAACACTGGTTACCGGCTTCTTAGTGGATCATTACTTGCTTTTCTTGTGGTTTACATCTCATATATATATATATATATATTGTGGCTAATATTTTAAACAAACAATCCAGATACGGTTAGAAAGCAGAGGTGGAAGGCAATCATCAATCGTGCTATGCACCACTGGAGTTCTATTAAGGGTCTTGGTTTCTAAAGGTTCTCATTGGTCAAAGAAAGGGCCTGGGAAGGATGACGGTTCTGGCATCACTCACATAATTATGGTACTTGCAAATTACTTTTATCTTCACAAGAGCATAAACATAAATCTATGGTACTTAATCTTCGGTAAATACTATATGTTTTTGCTTCTAAATCATGTTTGGTCATTTTTTGAATTATTTGGATGGCTGAAAACTTGGTTATTTGGTATGACTGATAAATTCTCAGATAAATTGGTAAACTGAAAAATCAAAATGGCTGGGTAAATCTGTTCGATCTGAGACAATTTTCTTAATTTGTTGTAAAATTAGATTTGCAAAGCTGCCTTGTAATTTTATAGAAAATTGGCTTGAACTTTGAACACATTCCCTTTTGTTTGAGTGAAGTGACGGAACCACAGCCCATCAATGTCAATGCAACCATGATTGTCATTATATGGCAATGGTAATTGGTAAAAGCAGCAAATTTTGATATTATTTGATTCTAAAACTAGACAAGTTTTCAGTGGTTTAATGATTGCATGGTGCTAAAAAAATTTCCTGAAAAAATATAATGCAGTTACTAAATATTGAATATAACTTGATGGACCAGAAGCACTGTTCGGTATTAAGATAATTAGTTTTCAGATGGTCTTTTGAGCCATGGGTATCCACAAAAATGCTGTGATGATAGTTGTAGGGGAAATGTAGTATGTAAATTTCATATTATTCACTTTGAAGACCTCATTGTGAGAACTGGGCAATGAATTCAAACATCTTCATATATTCTGTCGTCATGAATCTTGGCATATGTTAGGCATACCCTGTGCATCCTTTCCTTGGAAAGTATGCATTGAAAACTGAGGTGACATTTATCTTTCTTTCAGGATGAAATTCATGAAAGGGATCGATACTCAGACTTCATGTTGGCAATCATCAGGTATACCATTGAAAGGAACCAATTAGCCTCTACTTTCTAGTGTGGTATAGTTAAATACAGAAGTGTAATGCCTGTTGCATAAGTCAGGAAAATTGAGCTCTATGTTAAGCTTGTTCCAGATATTTTGCAACTAATAGCATACTCTTTTGGGTAGAGTTGAGTTGCTCCTTGAGCAAAATTGCTTTCTTTTTTTTAACCACAAATATGTGGCATTAACTTCCCTGATATGTTTAATGCTCCCTCCCCAAGAAGAAAGATCATATATAAGATTACTTCACTAAGAAATTTGTCTGGTTTTTGGACTGTTATCTCTGATTTTTGGTAACTTCTTTGCAGAGACATGCTCCCTTCATATCCTCACCTACGTCTGGTCAGTTCAAACTTGTTACATTTATATTTTTTTGTCCCTTTTTCTCTGTCATCTTGTCAAGTGCTTATTTAATTTATAATCATATTATTTCCCATATTTTTTTGTGGTGCTCTAATATTACAGATATTAATGAGTGCTACCATTGATGCTGAGCGATTTTCTCAATATTTTGGGAGCTGTCCAATCATCCATGTTCCAGGGTTCACTTATCCGGTACCTATACAGTAGTAGATTGTATGTTAACTAATACATTGTCACATGTTGTTACAATGTGTACCTGTTCTTTCTTCAGGTCAAAACTTTCTATTTGGAGGATGTACTTTCTATTATAAAATCCAGTAATGATAACCATCTTGATAGTACCACATGTAGTATTCCAATAATAAATCGTGAGCTAAGTGAAGAAGACAAGCTTTCTGTTGATGAAGCTATTAATTTGGCTTGGTCTAATGATGATTGGGACCTGCTCTTAGAGTTAGTTTCTTCTGAAGGAAGCCCAGAACTTTTTAATTACCAACATTCTTTAACTGGCCTTACTCCGTTAATGGTGTTTGCCGGAAAAGGCAGAGTGGGTGATATGTGCATGCTCTTATCTTTTGGGGCAAATTGCAATTTAAGGTCCAAAGATGGAATGACTGCACTGGAGATTGCTGAAAGGGAAAACCAGCTGGAAGTTGCTGAAATAATTAAGAAGCACATGGATGGTGATTTTTCCAACTCCATGGAAGAGAAAAAGTTACTTGATAAATACCTTGCAACAGTTAACCCGGAACTTGTTGATGATGTTCTGATAGAGCAGCTGATAAGGAAAATATGCATTGATTCAACAGATGGGGGGATCCTTATTTTTCTTCCAGGATGGGATGATATAAACAGAACACGTGAGAGATTGCTTGCATCACATTTTTTCAAGAATTCCTCGAAGTTTATGCTTATATCTCTGCATTCGATGGTTCCATCTGTGGAGCAAAAGAAGGTTTTTAAGCGTCCACCTCATGGTTGCCGCAAAATTGTACTATCAACCAATATTGCTGAAACGGCTATCACCATTGATGATATAGTGTATGTCATAGACACTGGACGGATGAAGGAAAAAAGTTATGATCCTTATAACAATGTGTCTACTCTTCAGTCATCTTGGATCTCAAAAGCAAGTGCTAAGCAGCGAGAGGGACGTGCTGGCCGCTGTCAACCTGGTATATGCTATCATATATATTCAAAGCTTCGAGCAACTTCCTTGCCTGATTTTCAGATTCCAGAAATTAGGAGAATACCTATTGAGGAGCTTTGTCTGCAGGTATTCCATCTTTTCCCTGATAGGCTACTCAGAATCTTGGTGTTTATTATATGCTTCATGATAAAATGGTAAAATATCCCCTGAAAGTGTAAATGGGAAGTGTGAAAATGACAAAAGTTAGTAACTTTGTAATGTTCAAACTTCTAACTGTTGGTGAACTCCTTTGCATTGTTGCACTAAATGTGGTTGCTTATTAGTTTGTGCAAAAGAAAAGTTTCTTGTCAGGTTTTGGGAAGAGCAAATAGGGAAGGGCCTGATTGCATTGGTTGATGTAAAATCGGTGTCTATGATATTTGGTGCCAGTGGTTGAAAAAATGTCTCCAAAGTTTTAAGAAATGTTCTCTGCATCATATGTGTGAATGGGTAATTTAGTTTAGCTTACGTTTTCATCAAAGTTTGAAGGACTCTTGGTAGAATTGGAGAGATTGGGAAGCTTTGCTTACTATTTTCTTTTTTCTTGTTTTATTTTTTATTTCTTTAATGAGGACTTTCTATCCTGAACTACATTTGCTTATTTCTGATTCTCAGGGTGTGTTTGACAACCTTCAAAAACAAGATATGTAAATACAATAGAACTGGTTTTTCCCTAATCCAACTTTGTTCTAGTTCTCTCTTATACCATTTTATTGTCCCTTCTAGCCAGATTAAAGGGTGATGTTCAAATTAGATTAGATAAAGAAGTAGGGCCCACTCATTTATCTAAAGGTATTGTAAGTAGGTGAACTCATTATTTCCAGTATTTATATTAGAATCAGGAATCAGGGTGAACCAAACTTTCTTTTGAACTAGTTTTTTTGTTTTTGTTTTTTTTTATGTAGGTTTATTTTGCTGATTTGATCTGGTACTAATTTAGTTTTGAAAGTAGACAACAATCCCTTAGTGAAATTTCTTATTCTATGCAATAAAAAATCAGCAAGGTGTATTTTCGCCCTCTTGTTTGTTTTGGTTCTTACTATCTTGCGCTTTATCTCTTGTGACAGGTGAAGTTACTTGATCCAAGTTGCAAAATAGAAGAATTTCTAGGCAAGACATTAGATCCTCCAGTTTTTGAGTCCATACGAAATGCTATTGTAGTTCTTCAAGATATTGGGGCATTGTCAACTGATGAAAAACTCACCCAGCTAGGGGAGAAGTTTGGTTCTCTTCCTGTTCACCCATTAATCTGCAGAATGCTTTTTTTTGCTATCTTAATGAAATGTCTTGATCCAGCTTTAACTCTTGCATGTGCATCTGATTGTCGAGATCCATTTACACTTCCAATGTTACCTGAAGAAAAGAAGAGAGCTGCAACTGCCAAATCTGAGCTTGCTGGTTTATATCGGGGTTGTGGTGATCAGTTTGCCATAATAGCTGTATTTGAATGCTGGAATAATGCAAAGAAAATGGGTCTAGAAGCTCGTTTTTGTTCTCAGTATTTTGTGTCTTCAAGTGTCATGCACATGTTATCTGGCATGCGTAGGCAACTCCAAACAGAGCTAGTTCGAAATGGGTTTATTCATGAAGATGTTTCAAGTTACAGTGTGAATGCATATGACCCTGGTGTGCTCCATGCAGTTTTGGTAGCGGGTTTGTATCCAATGGTTGGGAGATTCTTACCAAATAAAAGTGGAAAAAGGCTTATAATTGAAACATCAGGCGGTGATAAAGTTCGCTTGCACAATCATTCCACAAATTTTAAGTTGTCATTCAAGAAAAATTTAGATCAAACTTTAATTGTGTATGATGAGATTACTCGTGGTGACGGGGGTATGAACATAAGGAATTGCACTGTTGTTGGACCACTTCCCCTCTTGCTACTTTCAACAGAGATTGCTGTTGCTCCAGCAAAAGATAATGATGATGGGGATGATGATGATGAGGGAGGGAGTGAAGATGAAGTTGGAAGTGAAGATGGGATGGAGTTTGATACCAAGTCCAGTGGATGCTGTGAGGATAAGTTGATGTCTTCTCCTGATAATATGGTTAGGATAATCATGGACCGTTGGCTTTATTTTCGTTCAACAGCAATTGATGTTGCTCAGCTATATTGCTTGAGAGAGAGATTATCAGCAGCAATTTTATACAAAGTAACCAACCCACAAATTTTCTTGTTTAGTTTTCCTTGTGGTTTTCACTTATGTGATTTATCCATTTAACTCCTTTTCTTGTAATATTCTTGACTCACTAGTTTACATTTTCAGGTGACACATCCAAGGAACACTCTTCCTCCCATACTAGGGGACTCCATGCATGCTATTGCTCGAATTCTGTCTTGTGATGGATGCACTGGCTTGCCACTGACCTTAGATAATGTGGACACATTGACCACTATGGTAAATGCAACAAATCTAGGCAAACCAGAAGCAGAGATGAAACGTTTGGGTAAAAGACCAAAAGGGTCCTTTCCAGAGTATGATAGGAACCAGACCTGTGGACCTTCTTCTAAAGCATAGGAAATTCAAGTGGGATCAACCCCAAACCTGACACCCCTTTCTCTTGATAATGGTTCAAACGGAAGTTGATTGTATGTTCAGTATTGACAGAACTTTGGCTAGAAAGTCTGACGAAAGGTTGCATTCAGCTTATATAGAATACAAATCCCAACAGTGAAGATTAAATGAGTTCAGCTTACATAGAATACAGATCCTGGCAGAAAAATCTCAGTCAAAAGAATTGCCTTGTCATTCATTGTGCAAACAACTGAATGTGGGGAAGCGTCAGTATGTAATGGTGTGTTTGAAAACCCTTGATAATCACGCTAAATTACATTTTAATGTGAAAGCTATAACCTGTAGAGTTGGAATGGATATATGTTTTAGTAGATTTAATGCCAATCCAAACACGCCAGCAGAATCTTGGTTGGCAGATTTGTACCACAACCTTCAGGTATATGTGCACTGAGATAGTCGGCCACACAATTAAAAGATCATTTTTGTTTCAACCCGTCTGTATAACATCTTAGTCAAATGTTTGTAAATTCTAGCCACCCTCAACACTTGCTAACTTCTAGTGTGAATGTTAAATGTTTGTAAACTTTTAACATGAAAAGTAGTAAGATGTAGAATGATTAATGAAACCATATATTATGAAGTCGTCAAAAGAGGAACTAGATTTATGCACCGAATGCTTTGAGCTAATCATAATATTGGTTTATTTTGAACTTGAATGGAAATGGTTTTAACAATTATTTTAGACCGTTGAATATATTTGAGATATCTGTTACCATTAATATTAGCTATAATTTTACGAAAATGTGTGTTTTTTATTAGAAAGTGTGAAAATTATTTTTTAAAGAATAAAATAAACAAGGACTATATCATGCATTGACAATTTCAGCCCAAGTATCTTTTTGTTTTGGTCGTGAAGCCCAAATATCAAAAGCGTCAGCAATAAACATGAGGTTTATGAGAAATAATCAATCTTCATTTTTCATATTTTTGTGTTTCTTCTTTTAACAACCACAAAGGGTCCAATGGACAATACACAAACAGATAATGGGTATTTCCGCATACTAATAAAATTTCTTTTGTAAAGTCTTCCATTAACAATGAATTAGGTGATTAAACCCATAAAAGTCAAGGCCCAATTACACGCATCTGCACTGACACTATTCATTAAGGAACAATTAATCAACCTACGCATTCCATGTTCTACTTCAATCTTTCACCGCTGATTAGATTCAACTTTACCTTAATTAGATGGTTTCATTATTTATAATAAATCGTGTATTTAGATAACTGCTTATTAAAGAACTTATTTAATAATCTCTTTTCAAAACAACAACCTATGTTAAAAAGTTATACAAAAAACTCATTGAAATAAACTAAAAATAGCTTATGACAATCATAAGTTGTTTTTCATAAGCAATATAAATTCTTCCAAATAAGCCAAATTATATGAATGGCATAATGTGCATTAACTGTCCGGTATGAAACATCACACCTTCAACCAAATCCTTTTATGTCTTTATTCAGCTGTGTTTTTAGTTGAGAGGCTAACCTCTTACCACACATTGGAGAGGGCATGTTATAGCTAGTGTAGTTTTGATTGTTGGGAATTATAATTGCGTGGAGAATGAGTTCATTTAGAAGACGTTTTAAGTGTTTAAGCGAAGTTAAATAAAATATGTATTTAATGGCTCATATCAAATTATAGAAACAGTGTAAAAATTTGTGGAAATCTTGTGATGTTAATTCGTTCATATTGGAAATCACATGTCAAGTGAAAGTTCCCCTTTTGATGCACAACATGACGAATTAATACGGCAATGACTTTTACTTGTATTGTTTTGGTAAACTACTCTAAATTGAAACTATGGCAAAATATGGTGGAGAATGAACTATAGCGGGCTTTTCTGCAAATATAGAACTTCCATTATCTATGCTAGTATACTATATTAAATCAAATATATCTATCTATAAGAAACATTTATTAGAAATAGCATGAGAGGTAAGAGAAGTTAATTTTAACCATATATCTAAACATAGATATGATCAAAATTATTTCAAATCCTTATAATCGTAACTATCGTGTTCACTTTTATGTTCATTCACTTAATATGTACATAAATTAGTAAAAAAATTATAAAATAATTAAATAAATATAAAATACAACAGAAATTTTTATTTAATTATTTTTATACATTTTATAAAATTTGTATAAATTAGTAATACATTATATTTTTGTTATTTATTGGAAAAAATTTTAGATTGAGTGACTTGACTTGAATAATTTAAAAATTATGTAGAGAGAATATGAATAACTAAAACTAAAATGACTAAAATTACACAAATAAAAGTATTGAAACTTATAATACAATTAAATCTCTTAGAATATTTAGACTAACGAAAATCAAATGGAAAAAAAATGTGTCTTCTTGTTTTTTTTTTCATTGACGTCCTTCTTTGTTTAGTTATCCTCTCCTTAGTCTTCATTTTCCTTAAATGGCCTTGAATTAAAAGTTAACCTGGCTGCATTGAAAGCGATGGTAGAAATCTATGCAATGCAGCAATGCATAATGTCAAAACATTAATTAACAATGACCCATTTGTGTCATACCTCACACCACATGCTATACCTGCTTCCCATGCTAACATTCACACGCAATACAAAACAAAATGAGAAAATAATTCACTAAGGGATTCTTTAGCTGCCTAAGTTTAAAATTTAGTATAATCATTTAATTAGACCTAGCTTTATACAGTTTACTGTTTTCTTATTTAGTTTGTTCTGTGATGAGTTTTTATAAGTAAAATCTATAAATATTATCATGCACTTCTTAATAAACATTTTTGTTCTTTTGTATGTGTGTGCACGTACTTGATTTAACATGGATTTGAATGTTTTTAATAAAGGTTGTCATTTATTAATATTAAGTGCATGCTAATTATGTTAATTGGTGGATCTTACAACTAATTATGATATATCCTTATTGAATAATGCATATATATTTCATTCTAATATAATCGTATTATGTTACTTAATAATAAAAGAGGATTTAAATTCAACGAAATATAACTAAACCAAAATAGTATCCTAAAATTTTGTGTTAATTAATATAGATCTTCAACTGGTATTCAAATCATCTTATTACTTATGCAAAAATCCGAAGGAGAAATTTTATACATTATCATATGTATGAGAAATTTACTTTTGTATTCATAAAAAATAACATAAAAGGAAGGAAAAAAAAAACAAGACAAAGCTAACATAATAAGCTCCACTTATAAGCATACTGGTTTTTAAGTGCCATTGATGAGAAGTTGGATAAGGCTTTTGATTTTTGGGTAAGAAAGAAAAATTTAGAAGAGGGCGATTCCTCTCAAACTTCCAAATGATATTTTTTTTAATTATATTAGGAATGTATTAATTCTCACGTTCATATATTTATTATTAATTTTTTATAATTAATAATTTCTGTTTAAAATGCTTCTTACAACTATATTAATAATAAGAGCATGTTATATAAAATAATTAAATTAAAGTAATAGTAAACCTATTCTCGTAAAGCAGTGTGAAACACTGATTGTCCTTACATGCACATTTAGGATTTACGTGCATGGAAGTGGAAGCTGAGATTAATCAAAGGACTGGTAAAAGTATGAAAGAAGATGGAAATGTATGACAAGTGCATATCTTTTCATGGAGTGAGATTAAGAGGAACATGCATATATATATATATATATATATATATATATGGTCTCATATCATAAATCTTTTAAGGAAATTAAAGTTGCAGAGATTCCTTTCCCATGGCGTTTGAATTTTGAGGGAAGAGTAGTAATCAACACGGCAGCAGGTCACAGATCGATGGATGGGTCCAAAAGTAGGCACCGTCTATTATTGACGTTAAATTCATTGGCCACAGAGAATCATATTAACTTCATATTTTCTTATTAAAACACTACTTGCCCTTGACTTAGTTATCAAAGATTTGTCCAATGATTATAATAAAAAAATACTTATATAGTGCTTCAATTAGTATATTGTTTTATGTTTAAATGTAATCTATAACTGAAATACTATTGTGAAAGTTTGTCTTAAAGGGTTACACCTTGAAATTTAATCTAAAACAAGCATGGCCTTAAACATTGCCTCTTGCTCATGCAGATAATCAGGATTCCAATTCTCAGAGTACAATCTGACAGGACATGTTTAATTAAAATAATGTAATTAGTGTGTTAAGAAATGTTAACCATAAATTCTTTATTATTAATTATAAAAATTATAAAAACATATAAATCTATTCATTGCTTAAATAGCTTTATCGGTTGATGGTGAAATTCTTTGGCATGGCTTTGACAACAGCGTGAACAAGCATATACAAAACCTTTTTTGTTATAACATGGTACTACTAATTATTGACGTGAAGAATTTGTGAGCTTGACTGATTCAACCCTTAATTGAGATTGTTTAAACTTCTTGCAGCATAGTTTGTTTGCGATGCGTGTTAAAAGGTTGAAAGAAAATGAAAGGAAAGAAATTGATCCTTTTTGTTGATATGAAAAGATTTGTCAAAGACAGCAAATTGAAGAAAGAATTGCGAGTCCCTTCTGGCAATGTTTCCTCTTAATTTTAAGTGATGTATCTTGTGCCAGTTAGAACAGCTAGAACATAGAAAATGACACAATGCTAAGATAAAAATATGATAAGCTTTTATTATATCTAATGTTAATGCAGACTTGATATAAAAAAAATAATATAAATGTCTATAAAATAATAAAATTATATTTTGAAAAAAGCAATTATTTTTTTCCCTCTTCTAATTAAGTCATATTCTGTATCTTCTCGTAATAACAATTGCACTAATATATCCCATTGGATAGAATGAATGATAGGATAACTTAAGATGGCTCAAAACACTTAATTAAGAATAAATGTGATATATTATTGTATCTTATGTATCTTTATTTTGACCACCAAACTTGATTTTCATGTATTATACAAATATTAATAAATCAAAATAATGTTTTATACATGATAAAAATTATATTATATAACTATTTTAAAATTCCTTAAATTTCTAAAAGAGTTGTAATGTGGTATATTAAATAAAGAGAATTTTTAATTGAAAAGTAATAAAAAAAACTCATAATATAAATTAATATTGAATTAAAATAAATTCATAATATAAATAACTACTCGGGGGTTAAAATGCATTTATTTTTAATTTAATATTAATTGAAATGCTGAATTTTCATTATTTTTTAAATTATAAACGATCTCTTTATTTAATACAATACAATAATACTTTTTATTTATAAATTTTAAAATAATCATATGATGTAAATTTAGTTATATATAAAAAATATTTTATTTAATATGTATATAATAAATGAAAGTTGGGTTATATTAGCCATTTTAAATCGCTGGGATTTCAAGTTTCAGGCCCTATTATGGTTTTAACGGTTACCAAAAGTCCACAATTATCTGCTCAAACCGCCAGAAATTATTTAAACTACCATATTTTAATTAAATGTTTCAGGTCATTAATTTTCTAATAGTATGCTATTTTATTAAATGAACCACACAGCGTAAAATAAAAAAATAATGTTTAATGTTTTTAATTATATTTTTTATACCCTATATATCTCTTTCTATATATAGAGACTAGAGAGATTGCTTAAATTGTCAAATTAATATTATTTTAATTTAGT